TGCTGCCATGTTGAGGCAGAGGGTGCTGTCTGTAGCTCTGGTTGAGGGTGAGAGGCTGTCAGCAGATAAACAGAGATCTGTGTGGGTACATGAGACCCTAAAAAAGAGGCTGGATCATGGGGAGTACCACCAGTTGGTCCAGGAGCTTCTCCTCCATCATGGACGTTTACAGTACTGCACTTATCTGCTGTTTTCTATTGAGATGGTGCTAACTGTGCTTTGTAAAGTCGTATAGCTCTGGGTATCCAGCAACCACTACCACCAGTTTCTCCTCCATTGTTTACCAACTGTAAACTTGTTGTCATGACCACCTCAGAAGGCCCGCCTCTCAAATCATCCCATTGGACAATGGGAGAAAAGTAGAAATGACATGGGGCACTTTTTGGCTCTGAGTTGAAATTTTTTCAACTTTAGAATTCAGAGCACTCCGGCAAAAACACCAGGTGCCTCGAGCACAGAAACACGAGGCTCGTAGCAAGTTTCATTCTCATTAAAAACAATTACAAAAAGCTGCCTCCAGCTGCTAAAACGCTTTCTGTGTGATCGGGGCCTAAGAGCGTTTAAGAAGCTGGTGCTGCTGGTGTTGTTGCAGCTGCAGAGAGCTCCGCTGACTTCATGTGTGAAGAACTGCGCACTGTGTGCTAAGACCAAATGGGGCAAAAACTGGTCCATGTGTCATGTGGTGTATACACAGTTGTACTGGTGTGGTTATCCGATTATTTCAGATTCACATTTTGAGCTCTCCAAACTGCACCACGCTGCTGCAGAATGGAGGAGAGTTTCCCCTGGATACAGATGAACTCTGAGTCTTACAGATCTGTTGATGCATGCCAAATCAAAACGGGCATTTTTGTAGATTTCTGTAAGGCGAGTGTGTTTCAGAGAAGTATGTCACTGAACTAACAGATTTGAGATTATAGTTTGGTGTGTAATTTTGTTTTCTTACGTGAGGAAAGGACACAGTCTGTGAGATACAATGTTAGGGGTGCACACAGGCTTTTCCTCAGTAAGAAAAGCCATTAATAAATATTAAACTGTGCTGGGATAGTTATTGTTTCACACCAGATTCACATTTTAAGACTTCAACTCTCCGTTGTGTAAATCGTTGCTGCACAATGAGGAAGAGCTGCAGTTTGGTCAGTTGACAGTTATCATACTGTGTACGGTATCTACAATATTGGAAAAAAAATGCAACTGACAGAGAATCTCACTTTTACTTTACCTTATTTCATCTTTATTTTACTTTATACACATTAAAAAAAATGGTTTCAGCCATTGTGTATACCTGAAGCAACTTTTGCTTTTTGGTGGGAAATGAATCAATGAATCATTTGAAACTGCTGAAAATGCCCGCCTAGATTTCCCAGCATTCAAGGTGACATTTTTTAATTCCTTTCTTATTATTTTTCCCCCCTGACCATCGGCCCAAATTCAGTTCACAACGATGTAAATCTGCAAATCTGTACATAAGAGAAGCTTGAACCAGTTCATGTTTGATGGTTTTGCCTGACAGATAACTTCAGAGTTTCTGTTGATGGACTGTTTCAGCTTTACACTGAATTTCTAATGTATTCAAGTTCTTCATTTATCATAAGCATAACAGAGAAGCAGTTGTTGGCAGTAAAAATCTGAAGTCTGAGTATTTTGCTGTGTGGAAGTCTTTTTCCTCGGGCTGTTCATGTGCTGCACAGAGAGAACACTGGGACACTGAATTAACTGGATCACTGCTCTTCTTAAAAGCCTCCGTTAAGGCACACATCATCGTCCGAAAGGCGCCTCACAGCAGTTTGAATGTGGACCTGTACATTATTTAAATCTTCCCCAGGTGGATGTGATGCTGTATGTTTTAACCAACGAGCTGTCTGCTGGATGTGATGGAGGCCGATCAGTGTTGTTGTGTTGCTGCCTGCAGAGCTCTCACATGGCTCGAGCAGCTCATCGCTGACCTGAATGAAAACTTCTCTTCCCATGAGGCCGCAGGCTGCTCAGGCCTGTTCACTTAGCTGTGGAATCACAAGACATCGGAGTGAGCGCTGGCATGTAACCACAAGGTCACAGGTCCAATCCCCTGAAAGTGGCACACAGTGACTTTGCCTCTCTCTGCAGTAATGTAAATGTTACACAGATGTTTGCAGCACCTGATTTCAGACCAGTGAGTTAAAGATGACAAAACCTTTTCCTCCGACCGGTCAGATGAAGGCAAAAGCACCTAAAAAAAAGAGTCGAACACGTCTTGACGAAATATCCAGACGGCTGGAGAGCAGTGAAGTGTAAACGCTGCCGTACAAGGAGAGCTGGAGGCTTTGCTAGTCCACAGGTTAAAACTGACTCTGCAGAACAACACTGACTGATGGCTCTGTCTATTTACTGTAAACCTCCAGCCAGCTCTGCCATCCCATAATAGCAGCCATTCCCCTCAGCCTTCCTCTTGGCTGAGCTCCTGTGAAGCTGCACTAACTGGAGGAGGTCAGTGAAGTTTTTCCGTCCAGCAGCCGCTGTCACTTCTGAACATCAGACTTTATTGATCCCTGTGGGGAAACTGACTGCAGTCAGACTGCAGTTCTCAAAGACGACCACGTCCACTCTGTTGCAGAACACTTCTTCTAAGTGGACTTATTAGGGCTTCATGATGTGAAAAAAATTGCCACATACAATAAAGTTGAACGTAGCAATTAGGGAGTCATGAGAACCAAGTACCAAGTCGGCGCTAAAATTCTTGCAACGTGACAGTACTGTCCTTTCTTTGGAACTGTAGGTACTGACAGCAGCATATTCACCAACAGGCGTTCTAGTCTGCTGTTAAATATCAAAGGAAGAAGAAGAACACATAGCAGCACGCAAGAACACCAACATGTGGAAGATGAAGTGCAGCTGCAGCGACAGCTCCACCTCAATGCCAGTAGTGTGACGAGGCACTGAGCGTCGGTTCCCTGCTGTAAATGTCTTTTTTTTTTTTTTTTTTTTTTTTTTACGTGCCTCTGTGCTCGCAATAGCCATGGCTGGAAGCATTACGTTTTGGTTACATACGTGTGTATTTATTTACATCCGTTTGTCCCATTCTCATGAACGTGATACCTTAAGAACGCCTTAAGAGAATTTCCTCGAACATGGCCCAAACATCCACTTGGACTTAACACTGAACTGATTTGTTTCTGGTGGTCAAAGGTCACTGTGACCTCATACAACATGTTTTTGGCCATAACTCAAAAATTCATACACTAATTATGACAAAACTTGGCACAAATGTCTAAAAGGATAAAATAATGAAGGTAAAAAGGTCAAAGGTCAGCTTGACTGTGACATCATCATGTTTTAACGTCATATCTCAGGAACAGAAGGGGAGACATTTGGTCAGATACTGAATTGGTGACTCTAATCTTGAACCTGTGCTGATTGTATAGATCTTCTGTGTGTGAAGCATCCATGTTTTCACTGACATGGATGGAGACTGTCAGAGACACTGGACTGGTGGGCGGAGTCATACAACCACAGGGTGGACTTGTGGGCGGAGTCATACAACCACAGGGTGGTAATTCTAGTTTCATCTTTAAAAACCAGAAGCAATAACCAGTTAAAGCTCAGCGACCGGTGTGTTCATCAAATCAGCTGCAGGATTGGTTTTGAGTCTTCTGCTCAGTCAGACTTTAAACACAGCTCTCTCCGTCAGGTGGCCACGGGTTCAAATCGGACACGTCCCCGATGAGGCGTGAGGAGGAGGAAGATGACCTGCTGGAGGAAGAAGAGGAGGAAGAGGTGGGCGTGGCCAGGCCGGTGCAGATCGTGGTGGCGGATGAGGAGGAGCACTCGTTCTCTCTGCAGGAGGAGGCTCTGGAGCGACTGCTGCTTCAGGAGGAGGTGCAGGACCTCCACGTGGTCGTCGTCTCGGTGGCCGGAGCTTTCCGCAAGGGCAAGTCCTTCCTGCTGGACTTCATGCTGCGCTTCATGTACAAACAGGTACCCTGTCGACTGAAGTCATGTGACACATGTCTCTGCTAATGTGCATGCAGCTCTGACTTTGAGACTTTCTAAACCATAGGAATTATGTCGTGAGCGAGTCTTCATATCCACCCCTGGCTGTTCATATACATACAGTCTGTACTTTACTGCTCTTTGCTCTTCTGGTTAGATGCTGATTTCATCCTCTGTACTCTGCAATCACAAAGGTTAATCTTAAATGTCATGAGTCAGACTCTCAACCACTGAGTTATGATCATTTCAGTTCTGCCATAAGGTTCATTCTTGACTTTGCACAAACAACCCAAACTCTCTTTTCTGCAGCTTTTACCTGTATGGCACATCATCTTCGTTAGCGGATGGAAATGTTGACGGGGAAACTCAGTGACTGTTAGAAAGTGTCTCCTAAATAAATTCAGTTTGTTTTTAAGTCCAACTTTCCTTGGAGAGGACCTGCTCTGCTCATATTCAGGTTCATACTTGTATTTAAGGTTTCTACTGGAGCATGTTTACACACTTAATGTTCAAAGAGACACCTGATTTTTCTCATCCTGTCTGTGCTGGAACACAGTCTGTGTTCACCCTCTGCCTCAAACACTCTGTTTCAGCACAAATAATGTTGTGTTAAGCAGGGACTCTTAATTAGCCTGATTGGGTTGAGGCTTGTAGGCTTCATCAGGAGGAGAGCGAGTTAACCTGTAAGCAGTCGGCCAAAACTAAATGACAGAAGTTACATTGAGTTACTGTATAACAAATATTATTATATTATATATATTATTATATACAGTATAAAGGCTTTTGAAGCAGTTACTAAAAACTATGTCTGACTGAATTTGTGCTCGTTCAAAGGAAAAAAGATCATTCATTATTAAAAATTATTTTTTTTAACAATGATTTCTTTTTTCCTTCGCATAAAAGGGGGAATAAATAACAACAAAATAAACAACAAAAAAACACCTGTGTCAGTATCGGCCCAAAGTTTCACAGTCGGTACATCCCTTGTATAAATACAAACACTAGCTAAATGGACCTGCGTCATGTGTGACGTAGTTGAACAGAACACTTGTTAGATTTATCAGGGGCAGATGTCCTGCTCACTAAAACCAACAGAAGCTAAAAGAAACTACCTCGTGACCGTTTTTCTTTTAGTTGTAAAATCAGTTTATAATCTTCATATCTAAGCCCTGTCTTTAACTGAACAAACAGCTGCTGCAACAGCTGGAAAAAGCAAAAACCAGTCATGTTTTTACAGCTACAGTGTGCTAGAAGTTACTGAAATACAATGTTGGCCCTGGCTCTGCACCCTGAACTGAGGTCGCCCTTACGTCACTTTTGTAGCAATAAGATCACGTTAATTCTCAGCTGAGTTTTCACTTTTATCCAGTTCAGACCAAAGATTTGCAACGAAATTAGTTGAAACAAACAACTACTGTCAACGCTCTGTTCTTCAATGCTGTAAGCACATACAGCCAGCAGCAGCAGTGACCCACCGTCCGACACCGGCACACCGTGAGGACAGAAACAGAGGGCTCGGTGGGGACGGAGCACCTGCTGCAGCAAGCCAACACGCCGTCTGTGGTCATTTTGACTTGACCAGCGGACTTCACTACAAGCTGAACCAGCCGCCGGCCATTTGACCAGCTGAGTGTCAGGTGACACCATCAGCTGGCTTGAGTCGAGCTCAGACCGGCCAGTTCACACCGCTGACACTTTTCTCTGTGACGATCTAAAATGGTTTTGTCTCGTCATGAATCTTTGGTCTGAACTGGACTTTAAGGGGAAATTGACTGGAAATCCACATTTTAAAACCCCCAGACCTCCTAAACCGTTCACATCTTTGTCACCTTTTCACCCCTGATGAGTTTGCACCTCTGGGTAAAAGAAATGCAGCACACTATGACGTCATACTGTAGCCAGAGTTGAAACAACAGTTTGAGTATTCAGAACTGAAGCCTGAGGCTTTACTCACAGGGAATGTTGATCTATATGTTTACGTCACTATTTGAAACTTCGTACATGTTTAATATGAACATCCTTCACTGAAACGTTACATATGAGACAGAAAAACATAGAAGGCCCCCTTTAATCCAACACTGAACACTGCAAGAGGTGTCACTGGCTGTGACCCTTAACACGGAGGACAAAGTCCACCGTCCTCGCTCTGACGCTAAACCACCAGTGACTTGTTTCAACACACACGTGTGGGCATGAAAAGAAAGTGAACCTGTTCTTCTACTGTTGAGTGTGACAAAAGAGTTGTAAAAGTACAGTGGCTGAAATCACAACAGTTCTATCTCCATGGCAACTGAGCAGACTCGTTCTGTGGATGAGGATCATGTGATACAGTTAAAATCCCTCAAATATTTTAATCATATTTGTTCAGTGTGTTCTGTGAGCATCAGATGGTATAAGAGCACAGTTGAAATGGTCTGTGGCGTCTCCAGCGGTTCAGGAACTGTAAAAACGTTTAGCCTGACCGCTGGGTGTTTTACGGTCAGTGTGTAGTTATTTGTCCAGAGAGGATTTAATGGATTTCAGTCGAAGTCTGTCAGCGCAAAATGAAATCTTCACCTGAAACCATAAAAACACTGAGTGACAGTTGACGTCCTGTCGTTGGGACTATTTTAAATAAGCGAACCCAGTTTACTGTGAGTTTAGAAGAAACCGTGAGTGTGTGTGTGTGTTGGTCTGTGACTCGACCTTTGGCCGTGTTAATCTACGGTAAGCACTGAGGAACATTCTGGAGAGTTTCATGACGCTTGAAAGAGGATTTTAGGCCGTCACAATGGCGGCTCTGTGGCTGGGCCTCCGCAGAGCTCACTGCTGCTTATTCCTCACATAAAGGCCATCTTTATGTGAGGAATAAGCCCCGCCCACACAGGTCAGGTCATGGTAGGGCTGCTTTTTAACACATCTCCTGCACAGGTCGCAAACAGAGCCTGGAGAATGAGATTTTAAATGAGGTGCTAAAGGTCACTGAGTCAGGTGTGTGTCGGACTAAATGGAAAGGCTTCTTGTGTGTCGCGTCATGTTGCATTTGTTTCTTAAAGATTAACCAGTTAGTGACCCAGATTCTTCCCCCATTTGTAGCGCCCCCTATGGATGACAGCATCCTTAACATTCACCTGTGACATGGGCCAGCACTGATTGAGACAAGCTGCCAGTCTGGTTCCATAAGCAGTCAGTGTCAACAAGAAAGTAGAACAAAACAGATTTGTGTATCAGACACATTTCCATTGTTGACAGTTTTTTTTTTTTTTTTTTTTTTTTAAAAAGATCCAAAACGATGGAGAAATACTGTAACACAAAACTCTCATGTTGTATGTTTGCCTAGAGAGTTGTTGGTGGCTATAATCATTCCTCCTGTCGAAGACTACGCCAAGCAGATCCATCGTCCCACCCGCGGTTTTTCCTTTTTAAATAGCTTCTTTTCCACCAACATTTCCAGTAACTTTTGTTTCCAGGAATTTATTTACCTGGATAAAAGAATTCCTGGTAATCTGTGTGGTTTGTGTTTCCACCGCACCGCAAAGTTCAGGAAAATGTATTCAGAGGAGGCTGATGACATAAGGGGGAGTGGTAAAGGAAACTGCACTTTACCTCCAGTCCAGAGGTTGTTTCGGCATGTGCCCTATATTTAGCTCCGCCAACTTGTTGGCTATTCTTCCATAGACTTGGTCGTTTCAAGTCGCTGACTCGAAGTCCCGCTGAATTTCTTCCTTGGCAGATACTCTCAGAAGAGCCTGGACCTCGTCGTCTGTCCACTTCTCGTAGCTTCTCTTCTTTTGCTCCATTTTCCAAATAATCAAAACAGAAAGTGAAGCCTGTAGAAATGTAATAAAGTTTGCAGTCACACTGCCCAGGAAGTGTTAAACACTGCAAGGGTGTGTTCCACCAATCAGTGTTCCTCAGCACACAGCCCCGCCCCCCAAGAATTCCGGGGAATCTGAAAAGTCCTACCCCCCTACTAGTTACTATTTTCAGGGAAAGTTTGGGGTTGAGGGAAAGTTTTTACCCCGGGTAATTTTGGTGGAAACACGCCAAGGTTTTTCAAAATCCCCTGTAAATGATAAAAGTTCCTGCAGTGGAAAAGGGGTTCATGTTATTGTCCCTCACACTGGCTGCTAACCAGGGCCTTTGGTGTGTCACACACTTATAAGTCCCACGAGCAAATCGGCGACAAATAGGTTCCCCTTGAAGGTTTTTTAAATTAAATAAAATTACATTTTTGTAAGCAAGACTTTGCCTCTGTATTAGAAAACGTGTGCGCACAACATACCGATACAGCCAATTAAAATTAATTCGTACCAGCTATGGACGTCATGCAGAAACTTTCCACCATAAGACTCTGAGACAACATCATCTTCTCTCTTCTGCTGACAGTGTTGAATTTGCAGCTCAGCTCACAGATAGTTAATACGACACAGTCTCTGGTTTTTGTTTGATATCTAGTGTCAGTGTCTAGTGTCAAAATATTGTTGCACATTTACGATCTGTCGTCAGCGCAGTGAGCTTGTTTTTTTGTTTACTATATTACAGGAATGCTGCTGTCACACTGAACATCCCGCTGAGCCTTGTTTAAACTTTAAAACTTATAAAAAAAAACCAAACAAACCGAAAACAAATCATCGATTATTCGTTTTGAACAGGCAAATCTGATCGGACTAACTTAACTCTGAGTCGGGTACAGCCCTACAAACCAAAGGCTGCCTAAAGGGAACAAGTCAAAATAAAAATTCCTACTGTTAGGTGGATCTGTTCTGTACACACGACTTCTGTTGCACGTCTGTCCGTTCTGGAAGAGGGACCCCTCCTCAGTTGCTCCTCTTTTCCCTGTTAAAGGATTTTTTTGGAGTTTTTGCTGATCCACTGAGGGTCTGAGGACAGAGGGATGACGTATGCTGTAAAGACTCTGAGGCAATTTGTGATTTATGATACAGGGCTTTATAAATAAAATTGAACTGATTTATGGTCTGTGAAAAGACAGCATTTATATAAACACCAACCTTTTAACAAATGGAGAGAAAGACGGTCTGTGGTCTTAAACAGATTGATTGCTGTTGTATGTCCGACCACCTCCTCCTGTCCCTCAGTGAATATTCATCACATGAATTTAATAACATGCTTTTATTTAATCCTGAGTGTGAGGCCACAGTCTGTATTTAATATTACACTGGACTAGCGACCGTGTGACGACCCCTCCGCTCTCCTCTGGTCTCTGTCCAGTCGGACTCTTGGGTGGGCGGCGAGGAGGAACCTCTGACCGGCTTCACCTGGCGAGGCGGTTGCGAGAGGGAGACCACGGGCATCCTGGCCTGGAGCGAGGTGTTCGTGGTGGAGAAACCAGACGGCTGCAAGGTCAGTTCACAGGCCGACGCCCAGTCAGCGTCTTCTTTTAAATCCTCCTTTAAAAACATGTTTCAGGACGTGTCGTGTGTTCACAGTAATGCTACGAATGACACTGAAGTTAAAGAGCTGTGTTGTCGTTCCTGCAGGTTGCAGTTCTTTTAATCGACACACAGGGGGCGTTTGACAGCCAGTCCACCATCAAAGACTGTGCCACGCTGTTCGCCCTGAGCACCATGACCAGCTCCGTTCAGGTCAGCGGTATTTCACAACTCCAGCCGTGTTGTTCAGTGTCAGACATCACAATCTGAGTCCTGTGTGTGTTTGTGTTAAAGGTCTTGATGTGACGGCACTAGGTGACTAACAGGTTGAGTTGTTGGTTTGCTGTGTGCGTTTCAGGTGTACAACCTGTCCCAGAATGTCCAGGAAGACGACCTCCAGCACCTCCAGGTCAGTAACAGCCTGCGGTCAGTTTTACAAACAGCTCCCAGCCCATTCTGCCTTCTCTCCAACCAACCGATACGGGGTAAAAAAAAATCTGCACGCTACCTGGACTAACTAAATCAGCCACAGGTCACTGAGTACACTTACCGGGTACAGTTGTGTGTGTCCACTATGCGTGAGGTGAGTCATAAATACTTTGATTTGCAAAACGTGCATCGGTGCTTTTACTCCAAGTGAAAACAACCCAGAGCACTTTGTCAAGAGGGCAGCAGAAAACACCGCCCTGTTTCCTTTTTGTCCTCAAACATGATTTATAGCAAGATTATCAACACGCTCATTATATAAACTTTAACTGTTCTTTGTACGACTTCAAATGACGAATGGAATTGGAAGTTGTTGCATCTTCGTCTGTAGTCTTCAACCCGCACTTTTTTCAAACTGCAGCATGTGAAAGTGGAAGGGATGGGTACATTAGTGAAGTCAGTGTCACTGGTGCATGCTGCTGTAAAGGCCCTGACACACCAAGCTGACGGTCGGCCGTCGACCAAAGTCAGTCCGTCGGTGAGCGTCTGTCGCCCTAGTTTTTGCGGTGTGTCCCGCACCATCAGCGCGTCGGTGTTGGCGGCTTTTCGGCCGATTGAGCATGTTGAATCGGCGGCGGAGCTTGTCAGTGAGAGAGATCACTCTGATTGGCTGTTCAGGTTTTATTTCCTCGCCCCTGTAGCGAGTGAATCTGCCTGTAGTGAAACCGGGGCTAACCGGTGCTTCCTCCTCAGGCTCCACTTCACTCAGCTGCCCGACAGACCCGCTGCTTCTTCACACTTTAACCTGATTAACAAACCGGAGCTAGCTGGGAGCGGCTAGCGGAGCGTTAGCCGCAGCATGACCGGAGGGAAGCACAGCCAGTTAGCCTCCGCTAGTCTCTGAGCTAGCCCCGGCTCTCCGTTTGGATCCAACCGGAGCACCGAGCCCTGGTTTGTTATTCAGGTTAAAGTGGGAAGAAGCAGCGGGTTTATCGGGCAGCTGAGTGAAGTGGAGCCTGCGGAGGAAACACCGGGACCGTCTGGATGTAATAGTCCGTGGAGGTGCTGCGGTGCTCGGCTGCAAAATACCACCCGAAAATAGATCCACATCGGGCACGAGAGTCTTTTCTGGGAAGATCCGTACGTCATAAGGTGCACTACCTCTATTTAAGCAGTGTCCATTTGTCTAAAGGTTTGTTAGAAACAGTTGCTGCTTAAGGCCAGCTGTGTCACCCTAAAGTACGTGTCCAGTTTTGTTAAGATTTCAGCAAAAGTTAAATCACTTTGTACCTTCTGATAACGAGACGTCTCACTGCTCTTCACTGTCCAACCTGACAGCAGCTGTTGATTTCTAATCCAGCAGATTTACAGCAGCATTTCAGTTAAAGCTCATCCTCCTGTGAGTGAAGAGCTCCATATCAGGTGTTGTTTGATGTGTTCAGGTCTGAAGCCAGCAGCCTTTATACCTTATGAGGCAGAGAGTGGCTCGGACTGACAGCCTGACTTAAATCGGTCACAGTAGAAAGTTCTCTTCCATCTTTGGTCCCAGCTGCTCATCACTGCACTCCAGACATCACCTGTCAATCACACAGTGAGGGCGGGGTCGTTCTGATTTTAGATCATTGCTGGGCTTTTTTCCCCTCAGAGCTGAGTGATGCTCACATTGTTCTGGATTCCCGTGAAAAAAAATATTGGGATTCTTATTTTAAAACAGGTGCTGACAAAGTATCAGCAGCAATGAGGCAACAAACACAAGTCAGACCAACCTCCTCAGCTTCGATCCAGTGTTTTCTTTCTTGTTTATTCCAAACAAAGACGAGTCTCATCTCCTGCTGAAGCACAAAGGACTTTGTAGATTGTAAACCAGCAGCTATGAAGCTTTGATGGACCGGATAAAGGCGAATCAGATACTCACACGTTTGATCCTACACTAACTAGCTTTATGACCATGTTTCGATGTTTGATTAGATTTTAAGCTGCTGGTTGTTTCTTCTCCTCAGCTCTTCACGGAGTACGGACGGCTGGCCATGGAGGAAGTCTACGAGAAGCCCTTTCAGGTGCGATGTGCTAACCACGCTCACAGTCCATGTGATATTCACACAGCTTGAGTTTAGAGAGCTTCTGAGACATGAACATTTGAACTTCAGTTCTTGAAAGACCAAATGAAACCTTAATGTTCCTCTGTTTTTAGCGAGCTGTTTAAGACGCTCCATTTTAAAGGGATAGTTTGCTTCTTTGTTTTTTTTTTGTTTGTTTGTTTTTTTGAAGTAGGGTTGTATAAGGTGCTTGTTTATGGTCAGTGTACTACCTACAGTAGGTGGCGGTTGGTACTCCTTTTAGTTTGGAGAAGCAGGCTGGAGACATGGAAGCTAGGCAATATAGTGCTGTGGACGGGGGCGGCATCAAAATGTATTTTAGGCAGGCAGCGACCTCCAGGGCTGAAAAATGAAGCCAATGCTTAAGTGCCAAAAACTGCAGTTCCTCTAATGTCCACTTGAGGCTGGCTCCAAGAGCGAGTCAGTCCCCACAGACCTCCATGTTAACATGTAGAGACACAGCCTGGTACAAAAATTAGTTTTGGCATCTGTGGCTAATTTCAACATTCATGACAACTGCACAGTGGGTGGATTTTTATATAATCTAATCACCTGTTAACATTTTATTAAGGTTTTAAGTTAAACATGATTAAGGGCGGGGCTAATTGAGCCACAGTCTGTCTGCTGCTAGTGATCTTGGCCTCTGAGTCAGATCCACCCCTCGCTCTGTACAACTCCACCCTTTTGCCCATATATGGTCACTTCTGGCACCAAAAAATTAAGTTGGCAGCAGCTAAGTTGTAAAGCTTGAGGCTCCAGAACAGGAGTCCACACACACACACACCCACACACACACACACCAATGGGTGATGCCAGGTTGACTACGTCCATTATTGTGCAGTCTGTGATTTTAGCCTCAGTTGAAGTGTTCACTACATGGAGCATATTTCCACCACCTTGCTGTCAGATCTTGATTTCTCACAGGAAACTGAAGCCATTATCTCTTCTGCTCAATATATGTTCTCTTCAAAGCCTCTACACTCCAGATTCCCCTTTCTCACCAAAGTTAGCACATGTATGCAAGTTTGTACGCCTCTTCACCGGCGACAGTCGTAGCCGGAGACATTTTGTTTTCAGGTTGTCCGGCCCATTCTTGTGAATGTAATATCTCAAGAACAGCTTTCTTTAAATTTGGCACAAACATTCCCTTGGACTCAACGATGGACTGATTAGATTTTGGTGGCCATAGGTCAAAGATCACGGTCTGTGTGATATCATCTGTCTCATTCTCATGAACGTGGTATCCCAAGAATACCTTGAGGGAATTTCTTCAAATGTGGCACAAACACAAAGCACAAAATGTGCGCCGTCCTCTTCACTGGGTACATAATAATAAACTGTTGCCCTGGATGTGAAGACATCATCGAGATCTTGCTGACTTTGTTAAATTTTTGAAATGAAGAGCTCCGTCCTCAGAGACAGAACTGTCATATAATATCTGGTTGGTTAATGTCAGCTTCGTCTTTGATCATAAACTTAAAGTTTTACGCCGTTTACTTCTCATCGCTTTCAGAAAAGGCTCCTCTCCCAGTATTGTATCTATAGAAGAAATCCCGGAGTCTGATTCTTCCGTCAAAACAACAAATGTCCTGCATCTGATGTCTGCACTGCCACCGGAACACTGGCAGTTCAACTTGTGTCCCATCTGCTTGGCGCTACGTGACTTCCTGTACCCGTGCACTACTTTACTCAAAACGTCTCACATGCTGAGTTTAAAAAAATTCTCAGAAAACAAAACAGCAGTCAAAGGAAAAAAACATGCTTCACAGTAACAAGTTGACCAATCCTGCTGTACCAACTCCTACTGACCAACAAGCGGACAACAGAGATGAACCAAGCCAGTGATGTCACCAGGTAGCTTGTAGTAAGATGGCTGCGCCCTGCTGGCAAAATGGTGAAATCACAATCTAGTTTTCCAGCACATCAAGACAGATACAAAGTTTGACTGTCATATCCTGCTTTAAGTAAAACTCATACAGTCACAGTCATGGTGTTCAGTGTTTCATCTCCTCTTTAAATACGGAAGCAAGATGTTAGCGGGTGTTTGTGGGTTTTGATGCAACGGCAAAGAGGCTAAAAACAGTAATTTTACCTGTTGTCAGTTAGTTTGTGCTGCTGTGTGACTTTGGTGAATACAAACTAAGCCTTGAAATACCAAAGTCACACAATAACTCAAACTCACCGGTAGACCAGCAGCTCCTGTGTTCTGAGAGATATAATTAATGTTTTGTCAATGGAGTCTGGTGGCTTTGAAGAGAACTCTTTTTATGTAACTGCTTCAGTTCCCTGTCTGACAGCGAGGAAAAGAGGTGAAAATATTCCAAATATTGCATACACTTCAACTGATACTGAGTTTTTTAGGTGTCTAAAATACATTTTGTTTCTGCCCATGTCCACAGCAGTACATCACTTAGCTCCTCTAAACTGGGGGCGGGCTGACCCGTTACAGTAGGTGATACACTGACTATGGATAAATACCTCACACAACCCCACCACCAAAAATCTGAACTATCCCTCAAAGTTTGTGTGATTGTATTTGTGTTGCAAACAAATCTGAAGAAAACTGTGTCAGAATAAGTTATTATTTTTTTCATCTTTTCCCTTAATGACTGAAGATCAGTTATGGTTCCTGGTTCAATAAGCTGAATGTGTCCTTGTGTTCAGACGCTGATGTTCCTGATCAGAGACTGGAGTTACCCTTACGAACATCCGTACGGTCTGGAGGGAGGACAGAGCTTCCTGGAGAAGCGACTGCAGGTCAGTCTCTTCGCTCAGGCTGGAGTCTGGTTTTAACATCTGCAGACTGACCATGTGTTCACGTCCGTGTCCATGTCTGTGTTCAGGTGAAGCAGAACCAACACGAGGAGCTGCAGAACGTCAGGAAACACATCCACTCCTGCTTCTCCAACATCAGCTGCTTCCTGCTGCCTCACCCTGGCCTCAGGGTGGCCACCAACCCCCACTTTGACGGGCGACTCAGCGGTACAACACTGACACTGACACAACAACAGCTCCACAGGCTCAGCAGCCAGTCAACACAAGTCAGCTTATATGTGCTCGGTTTGTTTGTGTGTGTCTCAGATATCGATGAGGAGTTTAAGAAGGAGCTGGTGAACCTTGTTCCAACACTGCTCTCTCCAGAAAACCTGGTGGAAAAAGAGATCGGAGGAGTTAAAATCACCTGCAGAGACCTGCTGCAGTATTTCAAAGTGAGTTCATGTTCCATCTGTCCAGCGTGGCCTTTCATCAGGTTCACTGGGTCAGTGACACAGAGTTCCCCCAGATCCTTAACAAGTCATTGAATCAATTTATCTTATAATATGGCCTTAATGGGTATTAAAATCTCTTAAATCAATCGTTCAAAGTCTAAAGAATGCTGAGACACGGGAGGTAGGATTTTATGAATCTTTTTATGCCTCTACACCGGCGATAGCTGTGGCCTGAGGCATTATGTTTTCGGGTTGTCCTCATGTCCGTCCGACTGTCCCATCACTTGAAAGCGCTGATTTGAAACTCTTTCCCAGTTTTTGTTTGACGTGGATAGACCATGTGATATGTTTTAATTTGATGGTACAAAAATATTTATCTGTGTGTAAATTGGGCCGGGATGGGCAGGTGTTGCATTTCTTTCGATATATTCGTCATTTTTTATCATTTTACAAATGGAAAAATTGGTCGAATCAGCTGGTTATAATCTACGTGGTGAATATACCAGAGAGGTCTGACGTGGATCGGGGACGGGGCCAAAATTGCCGCACCCGAAGTCAACCGCAGGAGAGGGGCAGTAGAGACAACAAACGGTTGTTTGAAAGAGAAGAAAAGAAGAACAATAAAACTGTGCCCCATTGTATATGTTAACAAAGTAGGTTAAAGTGAAAAAATAATTGATTAACACATCATATAGGTGAAAATAAAGATGTCAAACGTGGGTATTTTTTTTATGTGGTACATAAAGGCAAAATCAAAGTATTCAGAAACGGCCAAAATATGCTCAGACTCCAAAGGGTTAAACATCCATTTATTTAGTCTGGCTTTTAATGAATGTAAATCTTTTATTTTATATATATTCTGGCATTTGTACTATTCTTAATGGGCTCTGTACTTTTCATTTACCTTCACTTTTATATTTCATTTATCATTCGTGTCCATCGATTGTCTAATCTTGATTTCCTTTTGCTTTAGTGCTGCATTTTATTGTGAAGCACTTTGAGCCGCTTCCCTTGCATTAAAAGTGCTCGATAGATAAAGTTTATTATTAAAATGTTAGATTTAAAGCCTTAAAGTTTTTGTTGTGACTGTTGTGAATCCCCTGCTGTCCTTTGGATGTGGTGATTGTAAATGTTTTGATGTCTCTGGAGAGCGATAACTGGGGGAACAATCATGAGTCCAGCTCTGAATTCTGTCTGTCATTTTTTCAGGCTTACATGAAGATCTACCAGGGAGAGGAGCTTCCTCACCCCAAGTCCATGCTGCAGGTCAGCTCAGCACTCACTGCACTTCAGATAATCTTGCTGTTGAACAGCGCCACCTGCTGGGCAGTTGTCCACTGTGCACATCCTTTGAGCTGAATAAGAAGCTCTTAAAATGAACTTTTCAAATCATAAGTGTCGTTTTTCTCTAAATGTTTAAATTGAACCTTCAGGATGATCAGACATGTTTATTTATGAGATGATGATGATGATACATTAATAATAACATCCATCAGATCAGACTGGAGCAGACCTCATGTAAAAGGTCTCTGTGTTGATCTGTAATTTGTCGACTTCACTTCTACATGTTGAATGTATGTTTTGTCATCTGTTACCTAGGCAACAGCTGAAGCTAATAACCTTGCGGCTGTAGCAGGAGCCAAAGACTTGTACAACAAAAGTATGGAGCAGGTAACGCATCACAGCCCCACTGTCAGTAGACATCAGGGATCCAAAGGCGTTATATGTTTGGGTTGTTCTTCTGTCCGTCTGTCCATCCTTGTGAACGCAATATCCCGAGAAGACCTGGGGGGGATTTGTTTTTGTTTTGTTTGTTTTTCTGAATTTGGCACACGTCCACTTGGACTCGGAGATGAACTGATTAGATTTTGGTGGTCAGAGGTCAAGGTCACTGTGACCTCATCCATTGAATCAGTGTCTCAAGAACACCTTGAGGTAATATCCTCAAATTGTCACAAACATTCACTTGGCACATAAGTGAGGGAGTTCAAGTACCTGTGGGTCTTGTTCACCAGTGAGGGTAGACTGGAGTGAACCCATGGTTCAGAGAGGGCTGAGCTGAAGGGCAAAGCTTTCGATTTCTTTACTTTACTTTATTTGAGCAGGGACAATACATACTAATACACAGTGACAGACACTAAAACATGCATAAAACTGTAAGTATGCCAGTGTTAGCAAGGTTGGTAGTTTTCAGCTGCAGTCCCTGGGCTAGATGTTAAAGCCAAAAACAAAATATATAAAGACATTTTTAAAACTTAATTAGTAGCAAATATTTAAAAGGACATTCATGCATCTAGTTACACATGCAGTAATAGCTAAATTAAAGAGTGTTACCACACGATCTAGGGGCAATACAAGGACATTACACGGTCAGGCGACAAGAGTACAGTCAGACTAGCATGCAGATAGTCATGCAGGCAACACACACACACTATGCAGAGCAGGTAATAAACATTATGTACAGGGACAAAGCAAAGCCAACACATGATCATGCATTGCACAGGCAAGCACACAAGGAGACAGTCAAGAACAGTCAGGCGAGCAGGCAGGCATACAGGGTTGGGCAGCTGCGATCCATCTCCGTCCCTCACCTATGGTCATGAGCTCTGGGTAGTGACTGAAGGAATGAAATCACAGATACAAGCAGCTGGAATGAGTTTCCTCTGTGGGGTGTCTGGGCTCAGCTTTAGAGATAGGGGGAGGAGCTTGGACATCAGGAGGGAGCTCGGGGTAGAGCCGCTGCTCCTTCATGTTGAAAGTGGTCAGTTGAAGTGGTTCAACATCTGATCATACACTAATAATGACCAAATTTCACACCTGTCTAATAGGATTATTTTCAGATATGTGGAAAGATCTTGTCATCCTGTTCGCAGGTCTGTGGCGGAGACAAACCCTACATTTCTCCAGCAGAGCTGGAGCGCCGTCACATGGAGCTGCGGCAGGCATCAGTGCGGCACTTCCGCTCCGTTAAGAAGATGGGTGGCGACGATTTCTGCCGGCGCTACCAGGAGCAGCTGGAGGCGGAGCTCGACGAGGCCTACACCAACTTCAGCAAGCACAACGATGGCAAGAACATCTTCTACGCCGCGCGGACGCCCGCCACACTGTTTGCCGTCATGTTTGTCATGTACGTGGTGTCACTGGTCACGGGCTTCGTGGGCATCAACTCTGTGGCCACGCTGTGTAACCTGGTGATGGGCGTGGCTCTGACAGCGCTCTGCGTCTGGGCTTACGTCAAATACTCTGGAGAGTTCCGTGAGGTCGGAGGAATCATAGACCAGGTGGCTGAAACCCTCTGGGAACAGGTGAGAGGACGGCTTTACATGATTACACCCTTCTGGTTTCAGCCGTCAGCCACACTGAAAGCTTTGATCTACTGATTCTGTTCATCCTGAAAACCTGAATTTGCTTTTCCACCCTTGTCTTTATTTTATTTTGTATAATAGAGATGAGACATGAGATGTGCATGGAGCAATGAGGGCACCGTAACCTTCCTCACATAAATACATGACATTTCCATCTTTTGAGCTTTGCCTGGAGCTCCTTAATCACCTCTTCTAGTGTCCTCTTCTCTCACTGCTCTCCTCATTAACTAACAGAAGACTTCATGGTTTAGACTCTGTATTGATGCTTGATTCACTTGGAACACATTTCTGTCATCCTTCACCTTCTTTTCATCCTCTTCCTCTTTATTTTCTCTCAATGCTTCCAGAGGACTCCACGAAAGGTGAGTTCTATTTACCTGTACAGGTTCCTGAGTTTGGTCCAGTTGTGTAAAATAATCCTCAAACAGTTTAAAGACAAAGAGATGCAGGGTTCCCACTAGAGGTCGACCGATAGTGGATTATTAATGGTCAATATAATAACGAAAGTTTGGAGCAGGAAAAAGCCGATTGGCTGATAACACCCTTTCCTGAGAAAATTGTATCTGATGTACAGTAAAGTGAGATTGAAAGTTTATTGTGCATTCACTGCTGGAGTGCACTGAGTGCTGACCATGCTTGCTAGCAAAACAGAACGCACATAACACTATTAATATAACCAGAAACCATATGATGCCCCTAATAAAGAAGTAAAGCTGTCCCACGTGTGTTCACTTTCATTTAAATCATACAGATTATCTAAATCACACATTTCCTTGTATTTGCATGTGGGGAACTCCGTGCAAAAGCCTTACAGCCACACCTATGTGACAAGTGGAGGTTACAGCTATCGGAGCCCCGTTTGGCCATTAATGATAATGAAATGATAATGAATTCTACTATAGAATCTACTGCTGTGCTGTGTGGCCATTAAAATATCACATTTTAAACTAACAAAATAAAATCAGGGAAATTGAGTAAAATATGATGGAAGAGTTATGAAAACATTTTGAAAATTCATTGGTAAAGACGTGTGGGAACGCTAGAGAGGATTTTAAATTCAACAGGTCAGGAGTTTAACATGAGCAGAAACATGGCAGCATTTTCATGCTGCTCAGCTTCAGACCTGCAAGAATTTATATCAGGTTCAATTCAAATTTTCAATTTTATTTGTAAAGCCCAATATTACAAGTTACAAAGTGCCTTAGAGGGCTGTAGAACACACAACATCCCTCTGTGCTTGGTCCTTCGGGTAAGGAAAAACCACCCAAAAAAGCCTTTTGTGGGAAAAAATAGATTAGAATAATAATAATAATAATAATAATAAATGTTGGACAAAGTGGTTTACAATAAGAGTATTATAAGCACTAATGAGCAAACATAAAATCATAGTCGTAAACCCTTAAATCATAATATCAAGTAAGATAGAACATTTTAAAAGAACTGCACCAGCGAGAAGCTTAAAAAGAAAACAATAATGGTAGAAACCTCAGAAAGCATCTGAGGATGGATCCCTCTTCCAGGAAGGACAGACGTACAATAGATGTCAAAATCCAATAAACACATTGACAACTGATGTTGTCAATATGGACTTTCTCAAACATATCTGATATGACCAAATGGGAGCGCTCTGCACACGGTCTTTTAAGTTGTTTCCACTAAACACTTTCAGTGTGGTACCACTTGAACCGGTACGAAACCTTTACAGACATGTATCTAAACCTTAGATCTGTTTCACTGCAGACAGTACTCTTACATGTATCTGGGGGTGTTTCTCAGAAAAGAACAGCGTCAAGTGCTTAGAGTTGCAATCAATGGAATATTTGGAAGATCAACTTTCTTGCTTAACTTAAAAACTCAATGAACAAACCCACGATTTTAGTCCCTCCAGAATTGGCTAGACTTTGACGTTAAACCTGAAAATAACTGCTGGGTAAAGGTAGCCATATGATGCTAACAGTCAGCCCTGTGACAGGCACATGGCTTCGGTCCTGCAGCAGCAGTCTGATAAACAGTGAGAGAATTCGTACGCTGCACGCAGCTCCACAGTGAAATGAGACATTCCCTTTGTCTTTTTTAGTTTTGAACAAGTTATGTCTTAAATTTTTCACTTATTTGACCATTGCACGCCGTGCTGCGACGGGACTCAACTGTTCTGACCTTTCACACCTCGAATGCTCACTTTGCTGGTACCATTCACATCTTTTTACACTGGAAATGCAAAAATAACTGTAATGTGTAACAAACTGAAATTTAGTGAGCTGCACTGCTTGGTGGAATCAGGGCTCTTGTACACCTGGTGTTAACATGTGATCTGCATCTAGATAATGACATTTGATGAACACGTTTCACATTTACACCTGGTCGTAGAATGTAGATGTAAATGTGCTGATTAGTCAGATGTGGCCGGTGGACTCGTCATAGTGTGTCTTAGGTCGAGGGAAGCGCTGCCACAAATGGACATAAAATTAATTTATGAGATATATCAGTGTGTCATCTGCATAATGGAGAAATGAGACGTTATGGTTAATGATCTAAAGGCAGCAGTTAGAATTTTTAGCACGACTTTGGTTCTTGACTATTTCAGTATTCAGGGCTTTGCACTCCTCCAGCTAACCTCCTCCTCCTCTTCCTCCAGGTTTTCTCCAAACTCTTCGAAGTGGCCCGGAGTCGAGTACCTTTGGGAAGCCTGATCCCAGCGCCACGGCCCCGGCTCGCCTCAAACAACAACGTCAAGAAGAAAAACTAGCAACACGCCATCTTGTTCCCGTCACGTTTATCCCCCCTCTCCCTCACTCTCTGCTCGGTTTTGAAACAACGTCTTTTTAGGGCGGTTTGAGACGTGTAAATGAGTTTTTGTTCCCTGACTGTAGATGAAGGTTCCTCGCCGTGCCGGCTGTAGGTTTAAGGACTCGCCATAGACCCGGACGAAGCAGTGTGGTGTATTTTATTATTTGTCAGTGGGCGGGGTTAAGGTATTTATTGGTGGGAGGGGCCATTATTCTATCACCGAGGTTCATCCCAGGTGTGTGTTTGCCTGTTGGATGAAGACAACTCGACATTCCCATTTATGTGAATGTATGAATGAAGAGCATGACCACAGACCCTCCTCTTGGTTCCCCTCTCCTCCCTCCTGTCGTCTCCGTCAGGTTGGTTTCTTTTGCTGGGCGGCGTCACGAGGAGGAGTCACAACCAAAGTTTACAGCTTTACTTATAGAAGCTCTCAGACTGAGCGGACTGACAAACTGCAGCTGACGTTTCTAGGACTTCAACAACAGTTTGGTTTTTGGGAAATTTTACAGAATATCTTACTCAGAATCACAAACTCATGGATGTTTCTACATTTCTGTGCAGGAAAAGTGTGTGTTGGAACAGTCAGACTGATCGAGTTTAGCTTCATGTCTTAATGAAACTGAGGAGACTCCACTTGAGTTGACAAACACGCCTCCAGCTGTGAGGCTGTCGGAAACTCTGAACTTTTATATCCATTGAAATGACCTCTAGTCTGTCAGTGAGATCAGAAGAACAACAAAAATACTTGTCCATTGAGTTTAGTTTTGACCAAATGCCTGCGGTAAATGTTCACTTGTGCCTTGTTTTCACTACATGGTTTGACTCCTTTTACCTTTGGCACCATCTCCTTTTCGCTGCAGAAATGACCTCCTCAGTGTGGGCAGGACTCTCAGCTGATTGCCATAGTGACACCACGTGAAACTTCTGTGACATCACCTTTAACGCCACACTCAGCCAAAACAGAAGAACGTCTGCACCTCGTCAAGGTGCCTTAAGACAAATTCTTCAAATTTGGCACAAACGTCCTGTTGGACTCAAATGGACTGATTAGATTTTGGTGGTCAAAGGTCATGTCGCTGTGACCATGAGTCTGTCTCATTCTTGTGAACGTGATATCTCAAAAGGCCTTCAGGGAACATCCTCAGATTTGGCACAAACATCCGATTGGACTCGAGAATGAACTGATTAGATTTTGGTCCTCAAAGATCAAGGTCATTGTGGCCTGGTGTGTCTTTGCCTTGTGAGTGCAGCATCTCAACAACAATTTGACAAATGTCCATTCAGACTCAGCGATTAACTGATCCAGAATTTTGTGGTCAAAGGTCACTGTGACCTTGCTTCTGTCTCATTCTCGTGAGCGTGATATGAGAAGGCGTTAAGGAAATTTCTACAAATTTGGCACAAATGTCCACTTCGACTCAAGGATGGACACATTACAATTTGGTATGTGAAGGTCAAAAATCCATATGCTAATTTGACAAAGTTTCACACAATAGTCCGACAGGATAAAATGATGACGTGATGACATTTTATATCAAAAGCTCAAAGGTCAACAACTGGTCTGAACGTGCTGTCATCACTTGACCTCACTACAGGACTCAGGTCATGTGGCAAACAGCCTAAACCTCACTGAGTAATTATTAGTTCAGTATGTTAGCTTAGCATTGCTCATTTTCATCAGTGGTTTTCTCAAACATGGCATTTTTAAATAGTTTTTTTACGTGGCTGTGGGAGCAGATAACAGGAAGTGTCTCCGTGCGACTTAATGTTTTAAATTTTGAATACGAAAATGATTGCGTGTAGTTAAATCAGAGTCCACAAGAGTTGAACGTTGTTGGCAGGTGCTTCAAGCTCTTGTGAATTTGCAAAAACATTCTTAGAATTTTAAAACCTGCTTCATATACAAACAGTTTTTTCACTCTGCGTTTTTGCAAACATTAGAAAACAAAACATGATTCTAGCCTGCACGTGGCTGACAAACCACAGGGGCAGTTTCCCACAGGCAGAGCTAAACTCTGCTCAAATCAGCGCTCAACGCTTTCTATCAATTCACTTATTTCAAATAAATATACAGGATTTAGACACTTACTGAAGTTCTCTACATGCTTGACTCTGCGTACAGTCTCTGTTCCAAACTAGACGTCCATGAGTTTGTCCGACTCTGTTAAAGTAGAGCTGTAAGTAAAATAAGCTAAATTTCCCATAAAACCAGCTGACCCTACAAGTAGCCAGCTCAATTACTTGATCATGTCATCTTTATTGATTTGTTTGTTATTTTCAGATCAGAAATGGCATCATGATTTTCAGTATTAACCTCTTTTTGTGTTTTTAATTTACTTTAAAGGTTCGCAGTTCAGATGGATCTCATGTCTGGAGTCAGGAACTGTTTATTCACGAACAGTCTATCCTTCTGTCACAGCCCCGGCTCTGTACTTAAAGGGACAGTTTGGATTTTTTGGTGTGGGGTTGTATGAGGTTCTTATCCACAGTTAGTGTATTACAAACAGTAGATAGCAGCTGGCACGCCCCCAGTTTGGAGAAGCAGCTAGAGTCCCCATTAAAGCTAAGTAACGCACTGCTGTGGACGGGGTCAGCAGCAAAACTTATTTTAGACACCATAAAAAAAACTTAATATCAGATGAAGTGTATGAAATATTAGGAATATTTTCACTGCTTTACTTTACTGTCAGCACTGAAAATAATAATACAGCTAGTTGGTTAGCCACCTAGTTCACCTCGCTGTTTAGGGTAAGTGCGGGACAGGGATTTAGCATTAGCTAGTTAGCATGAGTAATCAAGAATTAATGGGTAAGAGTTGGTCTATCATCAGTGTTATGTACTGTATTTTTTTTCTTTTATGAATAGGCCAATTTATCTTTGCTAAAAAAAAATGTTAGATTAATTTTATTGTGTGTTTTGGAAAAGAATTTGGAAAAATTTTGAAAAAAGAAAAAAAAAACACAACCTTAAATTAGAACTTTAATTCAAGTCCCAAACAATAATTTAGCAGTCCCTCGTGCAGTAACTCTGAGGGTCTCTTAGGGTCACCGACCTCCTGTTGAAGACCCAGGATTGACTGCTTTGCTGTCAGACAGCCCTTTCTGACAGGGAGCTGAAGCTGTTTAATCAGTCTATGTGCTCTCCGAAGCCAGACTCCATTAACAAAGACAGTAATTTTAGCTTGCACGACACAGGAGCTCAATCAGTGTGTTTCTTTGGTTAATTGTGCGACTCTGGTGAATCCCAAGTAACCCTTTAAAACACCGAAGTCATACAATAATAGAAAGAGACTAACTAATCGAGGCAGCGTCGACTAGTAGCTCCTGTTTTTGTCAATAGAGTCTGGCTTTAAAAAAGAGAGATAGCAGCCTCCTGTTGGAAAGGGCTGTGGGACAACAGGGTGAAGCAGTAGAAATATCCTAAACACAGTGTACTCTCAAACTGATACTGATTTTTGTAGGTGGCTAAAAGATGTTTTGTTGCTGCCCTCATACAAACCCGCCTCAAAAAAATCTGAGCTATCCCTTTAACTTACAAACATGAGATTGGTATCGATAGCCAACAGAGAAACTAAACACTTTGTACTATTCCTTAAGTCTTTAATAATGTCTGGATTATTATTTTTGGGATGTCTCATTCAACCTGGCAGGTCATGATGATGATCCTCAGTCCTCTGCCAGCGTTCACAGGATAAAGCCTTTAAATTAGTTCCTCCAGTCCAGTTCAGCTGAGACCTTGTAGATAATATTTAATTCTGTTATTTAACTCGAGTGTTATTCCCTCTCCGTCATTCCATCTTCATCTCCACACCTCTGAAGGACTGAACCAACGCCTCTTGTTTTTAAAGCACCAGAAGCTGTTTAGTTAAAACACTAAAAATCACGTCACCACCGACATATAACATGAGCACTTTGTTAAGATGGTGTCAGTGTTTCCGTTTTTAAAGCCAAAATCCGTGAATCGGATGACTGATAGGGTCATTCCAAACATCGACCTCATCACATCGTTGTTTTCCTGAATCCTGTATTCTCCATTTAATCATCATTCCATCCACAAACATCACCGCTGTGTGCTTTTTGTTTTTGTACAGTTTAGTTTTTTACATCCACACATAGGGCATGTGTATGAAATATATACATATATAAATATAAATTTTCTAGACCTTTTTGTAGCTGGAAGAACAACGGTTTGGGTGGTAGACCAGATTCAGCTCACTGGATGTAAAGGAATGCTTTCGTGATTTGTGGATATGTCTAATAAATTCCTTTTTATATATATATTTGTAAATTTAATCTTACATGAGCACTGCGATTCCACCCCCTGCTGGCAAAGAATGTTTATAATCTGGATTTTTTTTTTCGTCTTCTGTTGCATTTTAAAGTTATTTTCGTTAATTTATTTTTCAATACAATATTAAACCAAACTCCTACAACACAAACAGCAGTGTCATTCCCTTTCTTACACGTCTGTTGTTACGAAGAGTGGTAGGCTAGCCAACATTGTTAGCATGTTCAAGCAAATTAAGGCTAGCCAGCATCATTAGCTTGTTCAAGCACCAAAGGGTAGCCAACAACATGAAATGTTCAAGCTAATTAAGACTAGCCAGCATTGTTAGCTTATTCAAGCTAATGAATGGTAGCCAACATCGTTAAATGTTCATGCTAATGAAGGCTAGCCAGCATCATTAGCTTGTTCAGGCACCAAAGGGTAGCCAACAGCATTAAATGTTCAAGCTAATGAAGGCTAGCCAGCATTGTTAGCTTGTTCAAGCTAATGAATGCTAGTCAACATGGTGGAATGTTCAAACTAACAAAGGCTAGCCAACATCGTTAGCTTGTTCAAGCTAATTAAGGGTGGCCAAAATTCTTATTTTTTTTAAATTTTAGATACTTTATTAATCCCCAAGGGGAAAATTCAATCTTTTCACTCTGTTCCAAGCCAAGTCCCTATGGACCTAGCTAGCCTAGCTTGTTAGCTTGCATCAGTTAAGAAAAGCTGGCCATTATTGTTAGCTTGTGCAGGCTAATGAAGACTAGCCAACATCATTAGCTTGTGTAAGCCAAGAAAGGCTTGTTAGCTTGTTCAAGCTACCGATATGCTTAGTTTGTTTTAGACTAATGAATGCCAGCCATCATCATTAGCTAGTTCAAGCTAATGAAGGCTAGCCAGCATCATTAGATTGTGTAAGCTCAAACGCTAGCCAACTTTGTTAGCTTGTTCAAGCTAATGAAGACTAGCCAACATCATTAGCTTGATCAAGCTAATGAAGGGTAGCCAACATTGTTAGCATGTGTAAGCTAAGAAAGGCTAGTGAACATTGTTTGTGTGTTCAGTCTCCTGATTGCTAGCCAACATGGTTAGCTTGTTTAAGCTAAAGAAAGCTAGCCAGCATCATTAGCTTGTTTAAACTTGTGAATGCTAGCAAACATCGTTAAATGTTCTAGCTAATGAAGGCTAGCCAGCATCATTAGCTTGTTTAAACTTGTGAATGCTAGCAAACATTGTTAAATGTTCTAGCTAATGACGGCTAGCTAGCATCATTAGCTTGCTCGAGTTAAAGAAGGCTAGCCAAAAGCATCAGCTTGATCTCCAGCCAGCATTGCTAGCCATCAGTCTACAGAGGGAGAGAGCAGTGTTTGAATGTTACAAGTTCATGGTGCCAGAGTATATAAAAATAATAACACCTTTAACAAAAATATTTTGATGCGTTTCCTGTGTTGTGTGTTTACAATTAAGTCTCTTAAAAAATCTGTTCCAGTGTTGGTTAAGAAAATATTTAACTTTTTTTTTTATTTTTTTTTTATGTTGATCAGCAGCTCAAGGGTTTTTTCTTGGTGCCTTTTAGATTGTTTTATTTTATATGGCTGTTTATGAAAATTAATTTGTTTCAGTTTGATTTTGATTTTGTGTGATTTGTCGAAGTTCTTCTGTGACTAAATGTTTTTGCTGCAGGACTCTTAAATATCTAATATCTCTGAGACTTCTCTGGTTAAAATATTCCTAATTTAATTCATTTTTGAAAACAATAATTTTTCTGCACCTATAAGCCGAGAGACTAAACTGGTTCTTTAATAACCAGCTCAAGGTTTCTAAACAGTCTTTTGTTACACACAAAGTGAACTCTGACTTTTTTTCTTCTGTCTCAGTCTGAATGTGTTGAACTGGAGGGAGGTTCAGCACCGATACCTTTATTGGATTTGATTATAGAGAGTGGGGAGCTGATCACAACAGTGTTAACTATTTATTATGATTTAGGAGACAAATAGAGAAAATATATTCATCATGTTCATATCTGCACACACACACACACACTTCATGTAAATTCATTTATACTTAAATCGATTAACTTGTTTATGATGTGTATTTACCATCAAATGAATCAGTTTTAAGTGACTGGTTATATTCAGATTTCACCATTATCTTCACACGATTAAAAATGATGTGCACATGAAAGTTTTTGTAAAATGAAGAAGACAGAATGCAGCAGAGCAGAGGAGCCACCAGATGGCAGCAGGATTCAAAGCACGCTCTAATTGTTATGAACACAGATATATTACAGGAATATTAATACAGTGACTCTGCAGGTAACAGAAACAACATTTATATATGTGTATTTATTATAAAGATACTTTCATCCTAATACAATGCCATGACATCATAAACTAACAGGTGATAACATATATCAAACACTCAAACACGTTCATTTTAAAATAGAATATTAAAAAAGTCTGTTGCTTCTACTGGAGAAATTCTGCAGGCAGCTTCACCTCGACTGCTCCTTAAACCAAACCAGACCAAACAATGACTTCAGCACTGATACATTTATACAGGAATAAATAAATATATTAAAAAAATACAGAAATAAAAACATCAGAAAATTTAATTTTGAATAAACACAGACATAAACAAGTAAACACATGTATAAACAAGTATACAAGTAAATACATTTAGAAATAAATACGGAAAAAAATAATCTATAAATAGGAACTGAAATGAATAAATGTATAAATAAAGAATAAATAAATACATATGTAAGTTTTGAAACAAATGCAGGAAAAAATAAATACAGAAAGAGGTGAATGTAAAATTAATTGTATGAATGAATGTATAAATAAATTAAGAATAATTGTTTATGAATACATAAATGAAAAAAAATAAAGTAAGTAAATAAATGTATCATTTAGTGATGAAAAAATAAATAAATTCATTAATAAATACTGGAAAAAAATAAATACAGAAATAAGTAACTATATAAATGAATTAAGGAATATAAATAAATTCATAAGTAAACAAATGTATAAATAAATACAGGAATAAATGAATGAAGAAATAAGACCAGGTATTCATAAATATTTAAGTAAATAAAATAAGAAATAGATACAGGGAAAGAAACGCATAAATAAATGAATGTAAACTAAATAAAGAAACAGAAATATATAAATAAGAATATTTAAATATAGTATTATAGATACAAGAATGAATAAATGCACAAGTAAATAAATGTATGAATAAACAACTAAATAATAAATAAATAAATATGTAAATATATAAATGCATAAATGTATAAATTACAAAACAATTAAATCAATAAATAAATGTGATAATTAAACAGGACATGGATTTAAAAAGCATCTTATTTATTTATTTATTTATTTATTTATGTGCCCATATGTTAATGAGGTAAGGTCATAACCTTTGTGTATTTCTTTCTTGGTATTTATTCCAAAATTTATTTCAGCACGTTTGTATTCTTTTATTTATTTATTTCCTTAATTCATTCATTCATTCATTTATTGATACTGTAATTTTTCTTTCTCTTTTGTCTTTATTTTTGTTAACTTTTGTTTTTGAGTGATTAAGTACTAACACAGTTGTGTAGTAATAGATTACATGAAGGAACTTTCTCTTGTGTTGATTCACCATTAAAACAAAATAAAATACTTGCGTTTGAAATAAATATGAAAATATAAACGGAGCGTGTTTTAGCAGGAAGCAGCTGAGGATGCTGGGATATTTTTAGGATGACGATGATGAAGATGAGGATGACGGGGAGGAGGAGCTCTGACGTCATGGTTTTGTGTGTGTGTGTGTGTGTGTGTGTGTGTGTGTGTGTGTGTGTGTGTGTGTGTGTGTGTTTTGTAGCTCCGCAGTGTCGCTGTGTGACATGACAAACCGCTGGAAGCTGCAGGGAGGATTCTTACTGTAATACTTCTTCACTCCTCTTCTTCATCCTCCTCCTCCTCCTCGTCTCCTTCCTCCTCTTCTTCCTCTTCCTCTCCCTGTCTTTCTGTCTGTCTTTGTCTCCATGCGGGTCTCTCTCCCGCACCAGCGCAAACAGCGGGCCTTCCTGTAGCCGCCGCCCCGGCCTCCCTCGCCCTCCGGCCGGTGGAGCCTCCCAGCTGAGCCCCGCTGAGGTGGCCTGGTTCCCGGCGAGAGATGCTGTAGAGCAGCCGGCAGACGAGATGCTTGTCCCGGACTGAAGAGAGCAGATAGCCGCGGAGGGAGCAGGAAGATGTCCGGCAGGATGCCTCTGACCCCGGTGAGCGAGAGAGAGTCTGAGCAGGTAAGGCTGCTTCAACCACTGATTATTGATTATTGATGGAGTTTACTGTGTTATTTTAAAATGGAGCTGTTTTTTTATGATTATTAGACATTTGTGATGTTTTATCATTGATGTGGTTAAATTATTTTGATTTTCATTCTAGTTTTATCACTAATGAAGTTGTATTATTTATTATTTTATTGATGAGGAGCTGATGTAATGAACAGTCTGATCACACTGATTGATCCACATATTAGTGCCTGGCTCATACTGTTAATATGTAACTACAGTGTGGCTGATGTCCACCATGATGACATGATTCATGTCTCAGAATTAGCTGGAGGAAGGTGTTAGAGGGTCTCCAACTGTCCGTGAGAAACTCTGTGGCCCCAAACGTACGATTACACATGAGGCCCTTTCACAACAACAAGGCCTTAAAGGGATAATTTGGACTTTTTGAAACTGGGCTGTGTAAGGGCCATCCGCGTCAGTGTGTGGCTGATTACGATGGCTGATTAGTTTGTCCGTTCTGGAGAACGGACTGTAGAATCATGGCGGTGCAGCATGGTGATCTCTGTAGACCACGTTCTGCTCCCTTTGTAGAAACAAACGGCTCATTCTAAGGAAACGAAAACACAACAAGTCTTTTTTTCAGGTGATTATACATCAAAGATTAAAGCAGCGATGATCAGGCCCTCGCACCTTCGCACAACTCAGGGGTGCTGGCAGGATGCCACCTGATGCTAGCCTGGTTCCAGACCATAGACCCCACCCACTCAACTGAGTAGGCTTGCATCTCTGGTCTGGCATACTGCAATGAATTTGCGATTTATCTCGTCCAAACGATGGACAGACCAATGAAAGCCGGGGGTGGGGGCGGGTCTAGCGATTAGCCAATCAGCGCCACGCTAATGGCGACCGCTACAGATCCTACAGACCACATTAACAATGCTATCAAGGTATTTCGCCACTACTACTACTACTACGACCAAATTAAGGAAGCTGCTAAACTGGATTTAATGATGATGCAGCTGGGCGTGCACGACAACGGAGACATTTTAAACGGGCAATGCTCGCTTGTTTTCGGCACCCCCGAGGCATGGATACTAATGACGTCAGATTCTGGGTGAGTCGTTGATCTCTACTGATTGGTTAGAGAAAAATCAAATTCCCTCCCCCTTGTAAATCGCCATCAATGGAGGCGATGTCAGACTGAAGGTTCTGGGAGCTTCAGTCTGACGATCAGGCTAACCTGATGCCGCTGTTTATTTCTGTGAAAGTCAGACCCTGCACTCAGGAGTGAGGTGGTTTATCCTTCAGAGTGTGGGCATTTGGATGACTTGTTCCACATTTTGTACCACTGTCTGTGTCCACTATGTGGCGCTGGAGAACACAGTAATTACACCTCATGTTGCTGTAAGTCAATTGATGATTGACAATTGAAATTTCTGACAAGTCTTACTTCCTGGTGCGAGTAGGTGGCACAGTCACCATGACACCTAATGTGCATTAAGTTGGCTTCGGACCTGGAGCCTTATAAAACGCAAAGTTTGGGGCAGATTGGACCATGTACGCTGGAGTTACAAAGCACTTCCTGTTTGGTGGCAAACACGGTCACATGGGTTTGGGAAAACTCAAGCTGTGAGCAACTTTTGACGTCCAAGGTCTTAAGATGGTCCAGACAAAATTTCACGTCAGCCGGATCTAATCTGTAGGAGAAGTTTGTTCAAGTACGACGCCTGGAAAAGGCCAAAAAATGCACCAAAATGACACATTAAATTCAAAATGGCTGACTTCCTGTTGGGTTTAAAACATGGCTCCAAGATGCTTTTTTGTACATCTTAGGATGTTACATATGCCTACCAGTTTGCAAACTTCTATGTGAAATGTACTGCAGGGGCTGCTTTGTTGAAATTTTATAGATGGCGCTACTGAGCTATTTTTTGGCAGCCAAGCACGAGAACCCCCCCCCCCCCCCCAAAATATTTTTATTTATCAGATGTGATGTGTGTGCAGAGTTTCACGAGTTTTTGAGTATGTTACGCCCCTCAAAAATGTGATTCATTCGAAGAAAGAAGAATAAAAATCCCTTGGATTTCAACAGGGTCCTCGCACTGCGCGGCACTCAGCCCTAAAAACAGACTGATTATATTATATTCCATTTCTGCCAATATAACCCCATAAATACTACACACTGGAGCTGTAAATTCACGGCCCAACTCCTGGCTCAAATATGTTTTGCTGCTGCCCCCGTCCACAGCAGGACATTGCTTTGCTTTCTAGGTGGTACTCCTGCCTGTTTCTCCAAACCGGAGACTAGAAACGTTGTTTTAATAAATTAACAGATCGTCTTCGATCTGTGTCTGGAGGTAAAGATGAAGACCAGAGTCAGATGGAAGAACTTGAAGTCCATCTGTGGAGTCATGGAGCAGGAAGCTGCTGTGTTAATACAAGAAATATTTGCTTTGATTATCTTCGATGATCTACGACAGCTGGCAGTATGTTTGAGTAGAGAGTGATGTTGAAGTTTAATGTTTGGAGTTGTGGATTGAACACATGTGGAAGTATCTATTGGCTGTGATGTTGTGGACAGAAGTCAGTGGATGAAGTTTACCTTCAGCTGACCCACGGTATTTTGGTGTTTTTTCTTGAGTTGTCTGTAGAACAGTTTGATGTTTTAATGCCTCATGTGAAAAGAGTTTTCGGGTCTTTGGGTTACTCTCTGGGTTACTGGGTCTTTGGTTCTTGGGATCGCAAGGTCACTGAGACTTTGGATGTCTGGGTCTTGGAGTTTTCAGGTCATTGGGTCTTTGGTTCTTTTGGTATTTGGGTCTCTGGGTTTTTAGGTCTTTGAGTTTTTGTGTCTTTGGGTCTCTGGGTCTTTGAGTCTTGGGATTGCAAGGTCTTTGAGATTTAGAGCCTTTGGCTCTCTGGGACTTTTGGTCTCTGGGTCTTTTGGTCTCTGGGACTTTTGGTCTCTTGTTCCTGGGTCTTTGGGTCTCTGGGTCCTTTGGTCTTTGGGTCTTTTGGTCTTTCTGTCTTTGGATTGCAAGATCTTTTGGTCTCTCTGCCTTTGGGCCACTGTATCTTTGGTTCTTTTGGTCTTTTGGGTCTCTGGGTTTTTAGGTCTTTAAGTTTTTAGGTCTCTGGGTTTTTGAGTCTTGGGATTGCAAGGTCTTTGAGTTTTTGGGCCTTTGGGTCTCTGGGACTTTTGGTCACTGGGACTTTTGGTCTCTTGTACTCTGGGTCCTTTGGTCTTTGGGTCTTTTGGTCTCTCTGTCTTTGGTTTGGAAGATCTTTTGGTCTCTCGGCCTTTGGGCCACTGGTTCTTTGGTCTTTTGGGTCTCTGGGTTTTTAGGTCTTTAAGTTTTTGGGTGTCTGGGTCTTTGAGTCTTGGGATTGCAAGGTCTTTGAGTTTTTGGGCCTTTTGGTCTTTGGGTCTTTTGGTCTCTAGGCCTGTGGGTCACTGGGGCTTTGGTTCTTTTGGCCTTTGGGTCTTTGGGTTTTGTGGAGGCTGGTGGACCTTGGGTGAGAATGGGGACGGTGAGGAACGGTTCCAGTGGTACCATCCACAATTTTTCACAGTGGAAACAGAAAGAAAGCTTATCAAACTGAACTAAAGCAGACTGCTTTGAGGAGACAGGGCTTTATATGAAGTTTTTGCAGTGAACATTCCCTCAGTGACTTCACAGAGCATCTTATTTAATTCGAAATGTTATGTTTTTGTCTACTTTTTATGCCTCCTGTGCTCGGCACCAACAAAAATCCAGACAGCTAACATGAGCAGCAACGTAGAGGCCAGAAAATCAGCTTTTTTGTTGTTGGCGTAAATAAAAAACAGTGTTGGAGAAGAAAAAAACAAAAGAGACAAAAATCTATTCACGCGCTGTTAATTTCAAAACTAAGAATAAAATTTTGGAAACAGTCGGAAGGTCTCCGCTTTGAAAGTGAAGAGGGTGTGGCTGAGTATGAGCATGGTGAATGATACAGTTGCTTTCTAACTTGCTTAAAAGGCTTTGTTCCAACTGACCGCACTCTCCCCTACTAATATCCTGTTACAGTAAGAGTAGAAGAAGATCGGCCATATTCATCACGGTGAAATTCTGGCAGCCAGTTTTTTAGAGTAAAATCAAGAGTGTTTTTTTACAGTGTAGAGTTTCTTTACTGTTAAGATATGATTCACAGTATAATTGAATAACGTCCTGCTGCCCTGTTGTGTCTCTGTGTCCTCTGCAGAGAGACACTCAGCAGCTCCAGCTGGCTCCTTCTGTCTGTTTGCTATCGATTGTTCCCAGAATACACTGCAGGATGTGATATCAGGAGCTGCTGATGTCTTTTAGTCTTCTAGAAGTCACTTTTTAACATCCTGAAGTGTGACAGGAGAGTTTTACCCCCCCCCGTGGTGTGACCTTTGACCCCAGTCACTGTGTCATGTGCAGTCCGTCATACTGAGACTATGAAGATTCTCCTCAGTGATGAATCACTGTGAAATCAGCTGCTGGAGGCTTTCTCTGTCACCGTGGAAACTGATAGGCTTATTATGGGATCCTCTTTGTGGGAGTGGAGCCCTCCACCCTCCATCCACCCACCCGCCCTGATGATGAGACATGAAGTCACACAGGGGCTGAAATCCACCTCCAGTCCCAACCAGATCATGACCTCTGACCTCTGACCTCCCTGTGGGGGGTAGATGATGGTGTGGTCGGGTCAAAGACACATTTACTGGTGTAGAAACAATCCTCTTGACACTTCCTGGTTAGCACAGCAGCTAACCAATGCTAGTTCTCGTCATGACGGGTCTGTTTAAGATTTTATCCTTAAAATGACCTCATGTGTGGCCAGAATGAATCATACCTGCGGTGTTGGGGAAACTACAGTAAAACTGGAGTTTACCAAACGACCAGCTACCTCACAGTGGACAGTAGTTAAACTCCAGAGTATGTAAACTAGTTTAGAAAGATGGTTCAACTCAAGGCCGGAGCCACGGAGTCAGCACTGGGGGGGACCAAATCTGCCGGGTGGTCTGGAGGTCGCCCCAGAAAAAAATTCAAATTTTGAAAACTTATTTCCTTTTATATTATTTATTGTGAGCAAGTACAGCCATACGGATACTCAAATTATGGCCTGTGGGCCAAATCTGGCCTGGGACAGGGCGCCATGTGGCCCTCTGAACATTTTGTAAGTCGCTGTGAAAAACAATGAATTCACACTTGGATTCTTGTTTGCACTTTGATTGTAAATTGTAAATGTAATTGAGCATAAAGTCTGAGTGTGTTTTCAGTCCTGTGTTGGAGAGGTGGTGGGGCCTTTTACATGTCTTTGCCCAGGGGCCCGACGTCTCCTACTCCGCCCATACCCAAGATTTTCTGAAGTCTGAAAGAAGTCTAGTTTTCTCTGTTGACTTACAATATGCTGAAAGGTTATTATGGGATTTTTGCTTGATGATGCCACGAGAAAGCTGCCTACATCAGCTTTAAGTTGGACTGACTGTAGGATTATTTGTGTTGGAGCGTTGTGACTTTTAATAACTGCAGTAATCCTTACTGGTGGAACTGAACCTGGAAGTTCTGGTTTCACTTCAGCTCTCTGCGGTCCAGTCTCTTCCCTTTTTTCGACTTTGGTAACAGCAAAGAAAGGAAAGGATATTTTTAATCTCAGTGTATCTGCATTTTGTATTTTCCATTTTAGAAATTAGATTTTAACAAAAAAAAAAAAAAAAACGTCTCTGCCTCCAGTCAGAAACAGCAGAGCAACAAATGAAAGGCAGACGTCTCCAGCTGCTGTCGTCTCTAAACTGAAGCATAAACAAAAAGAAGTTCCTCTTTTAAACTGCCGCTCTGTTCTTCACCAGGAGGAACTCAGCACATTTAGGCTGCAGTTAAAGCAAACGGACTGAAGCTGGAAGAGCCTCTGCAGTGATGAAGCATTTCAAGATTCACTGAGAAATCAGGTCATTTTCAGCTCAACAGTTACCAGCTGTGGAAGAAGTATCAGATCCTTTACTGCAGCAAAAGTACTAATACTACACTGGAAGTACTCCTCTACAAGTAAAAGTCCTGCATTCAAAACTGTACTTGAGTAAAACTATCAGCAAAATGTAGTTACGTAGTAAGGGTCTGTTTGTTGCTGTTTGTTTCTGAATATTCCTGCTGCATTTATTTGTAGTTTTGCTGCTGTAGCTTTAAGCTTTTGTGGGATGGTTATGTCGGCGTAGTGCCCAGGGATTGCACACTGTAATATCTCATGGGAAACTGTATCAAATTGAGGTGGCACAGTGGTGCAGTGGTTAGCTGGTTCACCTGGGGTGGGGGAACCCTTCTGTGCGGAGTTTGTATGTTCTCCCCGTGTCAGCGTGGGTTTCCTCCAGGTGCTCTGACATGTTCTCCCCGTGTCAGCGTGGGTTTCCTCCAGGTGCTCTGACATGTTCTCCCCGTGTTAGCGTGGGTTTCCTCCAGGTGCTCCGACATGTTCTCCCTGTGTCAGCGTGGGTTTCCTCCAGGTGCTCTGACATGTTCTCCCCGTGTCAGCGTGGGTTTCCTCCAGGTGCTCTGACATGTTCTCCCTGTGTCAGCGTGGGTTTCCTCCAGGTGCTCTGACATGTTCTCCCTGTGTCAGCGTGGGTTTCCTCCAGGTGCTCTGACATGTTCTCCCTGTGTCAGCGTGGGTTTCCTCCAGGTGCTCTGACATGTTCTCCCTGTGTCAGCGTGGGTTTCCTCCAGGTGCTCTGACATGTTCTCCCTGTGTCAGCGTGGGTTTCCTCCAGGTGCTCTGACATGTTCTCCCTGTGTCAGCGTGGGTTTCCTCCAGGTGCTCTGACATGTTCTCCCTGTGTCAGCGTGGGTTTCCTCCAGGTGCTCTGACATGTTCTCCCTGTGTCAGCGTGGGTTTCCTCCAGGTGCTCTGACATGTTCTCCCTGTGTCAGCGTGGGTTTCCTCCAGGTGCTCTGACATGTTCTCCCTGTGTCAGCGTGGGTTTCCTCCAGGTGCTCTGACATGTTCTCCCTGTGTCAGCGTGGGTTTCCTCCAGGTGCTCTGACATGTTCTCCCTGTGTCAGCGTGGGTTTCCTCCAGGTGCTCTGACATGTTCTCCCTGTGTCAGCGTGGGTTTCCTCCAGGTGCTCTGACATGTTCTCCCTGTGTCAGCGTGGGTTTCCTCCAGGTGCTCTGACATGTTCTCCCTGTGTCAGCGTGGGTTTCCTCCAGGTGCTCTGACATGTTCTCCCTGTGTCAGCGTGGGTTTCCTCCAGGTGCTCTGACATGTTCTCCCTGTGTCAGCGTGGGTTTCCTCCAGGTGCTCTGACATGTTCTCCCTGTGTCAGCGTGGGTTTCCTCCAGGTGCTCTGACATGTTCTCCCTGTGTCAGCGTGGGTTTCCTCCAGGTGCTCTGACATGTTCTCCCTGTGTCAGCGTGGGTTTCCTCCAGGTGCTCTGACATGTTCTCCCTGTGTCAGCGTGGGTTTCCTCCAGGTGCTCTGACATGTTCTCCCTGTGTCAGCGTGGGTTTCCTCCAGGTGCTCTGACATGTTCTCCCTGTGTCAGCGTGGGTTTCCTCCAGGTGCTCTGACATGTTCTCCCTGTGTCAGCGTGGGTTTCCTCCAGGTGCTCTGACATGTTCTCCCTGTGTCAGCGTGGGTTTCCTCCAGGTGCTCTGACATGTTCTCCCTGTGTCAGCGTGGGTTTCCTCCAGGTGCTCTGACATGTTCTCCCTGTGTCAGCGTGGGTTTCGTCCAGGTGCTCCGACATGTTCTCCCCGTGTCAGCGTGGGTTTCCTCCAGGTGCTCCGACATGTTCTCCCCGTGTCAGCATGGGTTTCCTCCAGGTGCTCTGACATGTTCTCCCTGTGTCAGCGTGGGTTTCCTCCAGGTGCTCTGACATGTTCTCCCTGTGTCAGCGTGGGTTTACTCCGGGTGCTCTGACATGTTCTCCCTGTGAACCCTGCCTCTCACCCAGTGTCAGCTGGGATAGGCTCCACGCGCCCAATAGGATACGCGGTTACAAAAAAGAAATTAATGAATGAACCGTATGAGTCTATATTATTGAATAATAAATGGTCTGCAGCCTTTATATTCTAAAAAGTCAACTGCTTTATAGGGCTGGGAGACATGGCCCTAAGATAATATCACAATATTTCAGGGTATTTTTGTGATAATGACATTCTTGATGATATGACAAATTAGTATTTTTTTTTATTAATTTAAGAAGATAGAATATCAACAGAATCAGTGATGTAGTTTCACAGTTTGCTTCAAATCTTCAGTAAAAACTAAAATGATGTTTCATGTCTTCAGTTTGTGAACAACAAAAGTAACTCAGAGTCAGATTCAGATCCTATCACAATATTAATAGTTCAACTAAATCAAATCTACCACTAATTACACATTTAAACAAATGTCCCCTGGGATCTATATATATAAATCAACAGCTGATTTCCTTCTCTGTTTTTATGCTCTGCCATTTCTCCTCTAACCATCAGGCTGTAACCTGTGACAGGCTGTTATGAGACAGTCACATATATGGAGTTTATTCACGTAGGTTTCCATCAGCAAAGGTTTGTGACAGAATCAGAGAGAAGAGGGAGAGACGCTGTGCTGCTGCCAGAGGAGCCGCTGAATGAGTTCCCTCTGAGCGCTAAGAGAAGGAAAACATTCAGGACGCCACACTTAATTCCACACTACTGAAGCTGCTCCTCTTTTTACTGGAACCACAAAGGAGTCAGGAATAATTTCACTGTCAGCCAGGCTTGTTGTTGCCATGGTAACAGTATGACATCAATATGTCAACAAGTCAAAATATCACGAGTATTACGATCTGAATTTTTTATATGATATTATTATAAATACTCAAGTCAAGCACAAGTTTCTCAAATTTATACTCAAGTACAGTACTTGAGTAAATATACTTAGTGACTCTCCACCACTGCAGCTACAGTGTTTAACCAGCTAACCCTGTGAGTGTTCACCAAACTCTTAAACCAAACATTTCCTCACACTCTGTAACAGCAGATCTGTCAAAGTTTTCTGCCCAAAAACAAATCAGTTGAGTGAGTGAGACATTGTGTTGTTCAGGGGGTGTCAGGTGTCGGCAGCGGCGCCGTGTGATGTCATGGTGTAACAGAAGACGTGTTTGTGTCCTCCAGCTGGTTCAGATGCTGTCAGACTGGTTTCCATCAGCTCCAGTTCCTCCCAACACCAGCCGGCCAGCAGCAGATGGCACACATCACTGTGTTGTTATTGTCCTGTATCGAATCAGCTCCGACATGCAGACCTGCAACAACAGCAGTGTGTCTGCAGCTGTCTGTCTGCAGCTGTCTGTCTGCAGCTGTCTGACTGCAGCTGTCTCTCAGCAGCAGTGTAGGAAACAGTAAAGGTTTGATTATGCCTCCCTGTGGCACCCCGTAACTGCACGGGACAAGGCTGGACCCTCGCCATTCTGGTTCAGGAGCATCTAAATGTTAATAATAAATCTGTTTGTTTCTCTTTCAGCCAAAGTCTTCAGATGGCCTCCCTGAGCCGCCAGCCCCACCCGCCAAATCATCAAGTCGCCACAGTCTGCTGCCATGTCGCAGCGCTGTGACGTCCCTCACTGATGAACAGCCGCACGTAGGCAACTACCGCCTGCTGAAGACCATCGGCAAGGGCAACTTCGCCAAAGTCAAACTGGCCAGACACACACTGACGGGCCGAGAGGTGAGAGTATGTGTTTGTGTGTCCCTGTCTGTCAGCAGCTATTCTCATAAACTGCTGAACCAATCAGCCTCATATTTTATGGGCACGTGGAAGACTGTGTGCTGGAGGACCTCTCGTGGTTGAGGTGATTCCTAATTGTTAAAAAATCTGTCTGCTTTTACCGTCTGTAAAGTCCAGTTCAGATCAAAGATTCATGATGAGACGAAACCATCTTAGAACGTCACAGAGAAAAGTGTCAGCAGTGTGATATGTCTGAGCTGGACTCAAGCCGGCTGATGGTGTCACCTGACACTCAGCTGGTCAAATGGCCGGCGGCTGGTTTTAAAGCACGTCACCTGTTTCAACAGCCAATCAGCTTGTAGTGAAGTCCGCTGGTCAAGTCAAAATGACCACAGACGCCGTGTTGGCTTGCTAGCTATATTATTGTGGTGTATTGATTATGAATACAGTCCATCCGATGCTGGTTTTGTTTCATCACTGAAGCCAGTATCTCACTATCACTATCCTCATTCAGATTTTAAGAAGCTACAAATTATATTCAGCCACAAAATAAGTCTGAAAAGCTGCAAATCAGAACGAAGCACAGAGAGTTGTTGACTAGAGATGATACGCCGTCTCATGGTGGTCACTTCCTGTCAGCGTTACAGATCAGAAGCACAGAGAGTTGTTGACTAGAGATGATACGCCGTCTCATGGTGGTCACTTCCTGTCGACGTTACAGATCAGAAGCACAGAGAGTCATTGACTAGAGATGATACGCCGTCTCCTGGTGGTCACTTCCTGTAATCTTGAACCTGTGCTGATTGTATAGATCTTCTGTGTGTGAAGCATCCATGTTTTCACTGGGCCGAGTCAAGAACCATCACACACCTTCAGAGACGTGTGATTTTCAATCTGGCGTTAGAGTGAGCCGTCACACTGACTGAAACAAAGAACACCCAGGATTTAAATGAACTGTTTGCAGCTGCTGAATAAGTCACGTGACCTTCTGATTCAGACTCTCTCAGCTGCTCAGAGCCGGCGGGGTTAAATCTGTTGGAAACGTAACGCCTCAGGATGAATTATTGATTCTGCAGACGTCAGCAGCTCGGAGCTGATTGGTCAGAGGATCAAACAGTGCGTGTTTGTGTGTGTGACGTTTTCCACTTATTTTAAGATTTGTTTTCCGAGTCGGAGTCGTCCTATCAGCGGCTCTGCTTCCCTCTGGAGACGTCAGGCTGTGTCTGGTCGGAGAGAAGAAGCTTCAGCTGATTTCCTGCAGCCTGCGGTGCATTTTAATCTCATTGATCATCTTTAAAGCATTTTTTGGACCGGAGCCTGAATAAAACTCTGAGCTCTCATCGCGCTGACTCAGAGCTTTCCTGTCAAACACTTCTCAGGATTTATTTGCATCAATCCTTCTGTGAATTTCACTCGGTATTTATGACTCCTGCTTGTATTTGAGTCTCATTAAACATCATGTTGCAGTGTTTGTGTCAGACTGCACCGAAAAGACGCTTCATGTGGAAATCTGTGTGACGGATTTTAAATTGTAGATCGGTGTGTCACAATAAATTAGATAAAGCTGGTAATATTAACAACACTTCAGTTTTTTCAGGAAAGTGCTGTAGTTGATTTTATTTTCTTGAATTAGCAGGGAGTCTCACTGGAAGCTCATCAGTAAGAGTCCAGACTTAACAGATAAATACAAAGATAATAACCTACAAAATAAACTGGGACTGACGACTTAATGTGATGTTGACACACTTTTATTATTTGGCCACATCTCTTCTTTCACTTTTCATTTTTAGGCTTTGTTTTATATCTCCGATGCACTTCCTGCATCAACAGAACAAAAACCATCAACGACAAAAACGACACCACACATTTACTTTATGTTTCTTTGCAGGTCGCCATCAAGATCATCGACAAAACTCAGCTGAACCCCACCAGCCTGCAGAAGGTACGTCCTGACATTTGTCCGTCAGTCCGTCAGTCCGTCAGTGTCCCATGATAAAGTAAACAATTATGAGTGTGTGTTAAAGAGGAGCTTCACTGACTCGGATCTTCTCCTCAGCTCTTCAGGGAGGTCAGTGTGATGAAGATCCTCAACCACCCGAACATCGGTGAGTCTCCTCCTCCTCCTCCTCCTCCTCTTATAGTAGGGCTCAGTATTTGGCAGTAGTTGAGCTCAGTATTTGGCAGCAGTAGTTGAGTTCAGTATTTGGCAGCAGCAGGGCTCAGTATCTGGCAGAAGTAGTTGAGCTCAGTATCTGGCAGCAGGGCTCAGTATTTGGCAGTAGTTGAGCTCAGTATTTGGCAGCAGTAGTTGAGCTCAGTATTTGGCAGCAGTATTTGAGCTCAGTATCTGGCAGCAGTAGTTGAGCTCAGTATCTGGCAGCAGGGCTCAGTATTTGGCAGTAGTTGAGCTCAGTATCTGGCAGCAGGGCTCAGTATTTGGCAGTAGTTGAGCTCAGTATCTGGCAGCAGGGCTCAGTATTTGGCAGCAATAGTTGAGCTCAGTATTTGGCAGCAGTGATAAGTTTCTGCTGTTGTTTTTCAGTGAAGCTGTTTGAGGTGATCGAGACAGAGAAAACTCTGTACTTGGTGATGGAGTACGCCAGTGGAGGTAAGACCAGCACACCTGTCTGTCCACCTGTTTGTCCACCTGCCTGTCAGCAGGTAACATGAGTGGTGATGGAGAAGGAAATAAGTCTCCAGATAATCTATGTAGTAAAGTCATCCAGAGGTTTTGTTTTTAAACTGGAGGCGTTACACGTCTGTCTGTCTGTGTGTCTGTGTGTCTGTGTGTCTGTCTGTGTGTCTGCGTGTCTGTCTGTCTGTCTGTCTGTCTGTCTGTGTTTCAGGTGAAGTCTTTGACTACCTGGTTGCTCACGGACGTATGAAGGAGAAGGAGGCCAGAGCCAAGTTTCGCCAGGTGATCATCATCATTTTACATCTGCAACACTATTTGGTCCTCAATATCCCATAATGCAATGTGTCCTGGTCAGTGGTTTAATGGTGCGTTCAGGGTGTCTCTGTTAATTTTGAGTCTTTTGGTTTTCTGTCGCAAAAAAAGTCTGGTCAGCTCCAACAGGTGCACGATAACTTTATTTTTGTTAATTTAAATAATTGTGGGGCATTTTCTGCCCTCATCAGTGAGTGACAGTAGAGAGGAACAGAGGGAGAGCGATGCAGCGAAGGTTCCTGGACACATTTGAACCAGTATGTGGCGGTTCATAGCGTCATAACATCCTGTCTGTCAACAACGACGCGTCTTAAAACACCTTCAGTTTCCCTACAACATGAAAACATGTCAGGACCGCTGCCAAGCACTAGGGTTGAGTATTATATGAATTTTATTGATTACGATTTTGCTTACTTAAATGGTTAAAAAAAAAAGAATGTTGAAGAAAGAATGTTGTGATATCAAATTGATGACAGCCTGTTAGCTTCCTGTATCCATGGCACTTTACCTCGTCACTGTTATCTGAAGTCGCATTTTTAATTCTTATTTTAACTTTATTTTTACAAACCTTGTTTGTATGTCCCATTCTCCCAAACATGATTGCAAGAAAGTTTTTCTTTAAATTTGGCACAAACTTCCATTTAGACTAAATGACGAAATTATAAGATTTTGGTGGTCAAAGGTCACTGTGACCTTGTGTCCACCTCATTCTTGTCAGCACAATATCTCAAGAACATCTTGAGGGATTTTTTCAGTATATAGCACAAACACCCACTTGGATTCATCAATGACCTGATAAGATTTTGGTGGTCAAACATCACTGTGACCTCATCTGTCTTTTTCTTGTAATGGTGATATCTCAAGAATACCTTGAGGGCATTTCTTCAAATTTGGCAAAAAAGGTCCACCTGGACTCAATAATGAACTGGATAGATTTTGGTGGTCAAAGGTCAAGGTCACTGTGACCTTGCGTCCGTTTCATTCTCATGAACACAATATCTCAAAAACACATCAAGGGAATTCTTTATACATGGCACAAACGTCCACTTGGACTCAACGATGAACTCATCAGATTTAGTGGTCAAAGGTCACTGTGACCTTGCATCCGACCTCAACTTGGACTCAACAGTGAGATAATTAGATTTTAGAGCACCTCACAAAACATGCTTTTGGTCGTAACTCAAGAATTGACATGGCAATTGTGACAAAATTTCACACGAATGTCTAACAGGATAAAGGGACGACGTGATGAAACTTTACATGCAAAAGGTCAAAGGTCAGCTTGACTGTGACATCATCATGTTTTAACGTCATATCTCAGGAACAGAAGGGGAGACATTTGGTCAGATACTGAATTGGTGACTCTAATCTTGAACCTGCTGATTGTATATCAATCAGTTTCATTTATAAAGCCCAATATCACAAATAACAACAATAATAATACATGTCTGAGATAAAAGAACAACTAAAGTCATTATCAGAAACTGAAGACATAATGAACACCATTGAACTATCACAAATCACAATTTGCCTCACAGGGCTTTACAGCATACGACATCCCTCTGTCCTTATGACCCTCACAGCTGATCAGGAAAAACTCCCCAAAAAACCCTTTAACAGGGAAAAAACAGTAGAAACCTCAGGAAGAGCAACTGAGGAGGGATCCCTCTTCCAGGACGGACAGACGTGCAATAGATGTCGTACAGAAAAGATCAGCATAATAAATTAACAGTAATTGTAGATCTTCTGTGTGTGAAGCATCCATGTTTGCACTGACCTGGATGGAAACTGTAACTTGATTGGTTCAGGGAGGCGTACAACAGCGAAGCAGTAATTGTAGTTTAAGCATATTTAAATTAATATTTGTGAGCAGCATTAACTCTCTGGATGTTTTCCTGTGATAGTGTTACAGTGATCTGTCGTACTCTGCCTGGCAGAGCAGGAAGGTTTGGCCACTCAGTTCTCAGGTTAAATGTCAGTTTAGGTGTCGGGTATGTCGGGCAGCCACCTGCAGGACGGAGTGGCTCATCCTCCATGCAGGGACCAGACCACAGTAATTCAGCCAGCATTAGTGCAACCGCTAATAAAACACAGTTTCATTATGGTCCATTAGCGTAGCAGCTAACAGAGCTGTGGTCAGCAAACACGGCTGCTGGAGAAATATAATTTATTTTATTTTTTATAACCTCTGAGCTGTTTCTCCTGAGTGCAGTTTCCATTTATGTTTGTTTTGTTTTTTGATCATATCTGTAAACTTTGGTAGAGGTTTGTCTGTAAAGCAGTCACTCAGTTCAAACACTGTGGTCCAGGTGAGTGAATTATCCCAACAGCCATCCATGAGACGAACGTGAAACTTTCTACAGACAGTCACGGTGACAGTGACTCGTGACTGTCAGGATTTGATCCATTCGGTCCAATAGCATTTGGACGAACAAATGAAGAACATTTGTCTTCAAATTGACACAAACGTCCATTTGGACTGAACGATAAGTTAATCAGTTTTTTGTGGTCGAAGGTCAAAGGTCAGTGTGACTTTGCATCTGTCTCATTATCGCAAACACAATAGCTCAAGAACGCTTTGGGGGAATTTCTTCAAATTTGGCACAAACATCCACTCTGAGTCAATGAAAAACAGATTAGAATTTGGTGGCCAGAGGTCAAAGGTCACAAAGGTTAATACGCTAATTCTGGCAAAACTTGACACAAATGTCTGACAAGATAAGATAATGAAGGTCAAAAGGTCAAAGGTCAGCTTGACTGTGACATTGTCATGTTTCAGCGTCATATCTCAGGAACAGAAGGGGAGACATTTGGTCAGATACTGAATTGGTGACTCTAATCTTGAACCTGCTGACTGATTGACTGGTGCTCCTCAAGGCTGTGTGCTGAGTCTGATTCTGTACACACTCTACACCCATGACTGTACGGCTGTTCACCCACCAAACTCCATCATAAAATTTGCTGACGACACTACTGTAGTGGGGCTCATCTCTGGTGGAGATGAATCAGCATACAGGGATGAGATACAGAGACTGACAGCATGGGGTTCAGTTAACAACCTGGTTTTAAACACCACCAGAACCAAGGAACTTATTCTGGACTACAGGAAGAAGCGTGACTGAGTCAGCCCCTCTCTGCATAAATGGGGAGTGTGTGGAGCGAGTGCTGGCCTTCAGATTCCTCAGGGTACATCTTTCTGAGAACCTCTCCTGGTCAGTTAACACCTCCGCCATAGTGAAGAAAGCTTGTCAGAGACTTTACTTTTTGAGAGTTCTCAGAAATCACTGGCTGCCCACTGCCTCCACTGGAGGACATTGCTGCTGCCCGCTGCCTCCACTGGAGGACATTGCTGCTGCCCGCTGCCTCCACTGGAGGACATTGCTGCTGCCCGCTACCTCAAATGTGCAAAAAACATCATCAGAGACTCTTCCCACCCTGGCCACCATCTGCTTGAACTGTTGCCCTCTGGGAGGCGCTACCGGTCCATTCATAAACGTACATCCAGACTCAGAGACAGTTTCTTTCCCATTGCCATCCGTGCTCTCAACTCCAACAGTTAAAACTAAAACACTGCCATTCTTGCACCTCAGCTACTCATTTTAGCACTTTATTATATGCACTTTTGATATCTATTTATTACATTACTGCTGTTCTTATGTCTTTTATAACTGTTTTATTGTCCTGTGCTCTTGTCCGTTTTGTTTTCTTTTATGTTCACCATGAGATTGCTACCTCGATTTCATTGTTTGCTTGACTTATAATGACAATAAAGAATTGATTGATTGATTTGATTGATTGTATAGATCTTCTGTGTGTGAAGCATCCATGTTTTCACTGACATGGATGCAGACTGTAAACACAGAGGTGATAAATCTAGTTTTCCTGTCTAGTGTAAAGATCTACCGATGTGGGGCGCCCAGTAGGTCAGTGAGGGGGCGTCAAAGGCAGTGTCCGTGCTGCAGCAGCTGCGGGTTCGATTCCAGCCCACAGCCCTTTGCTGCATGTCATCCCGTCTCTCTCTCCCCCTTTCACACTTTGTCCGGTCCAATAAAGTCAAAGAATAATCCTAATCAGATCTCTGATGTGTGGTCATGTTCAGTTTCTAATGACTCTTCCTCTTCTTCTTCTTTCACCTTGTGTTTGTGTCAGATTGTGTCAGCAGTGGAGTACTGTCACCAGAAGAGGATCGTACACCGAGACCTCAAGGTACACACACACACACAGTGAGATAAAATAAGATTGACAGCTCTGAGCACTAATCCTCATGTGAATGTAAATAGCGATTATTATATTAATGGAGACACAGCGATCATCAGATTAGATTCATCCAGTGATCAGACATCAGCCATCCATGATAGCGACGCTGCAGCACCTCATGGTACCGTTCAGAATTCAGGTGAAGAACCTCACTTGAAGTCTTATTGTGATGCAGAGATTTGTTGTTAGCAGGAATGTAGCACGACATGGAAGTGAAAGCAGCGCTCTGTTTAAATGTTAAAGTGCAGTACAAAGATTTTGTCTTTGAATAATCATTATTAACATTTTGGCCGCAATCGAGCAGCCTGAGGCCGAGTCTGTGCAGATACAAACAGCGCCACACACCGAGAGTGGGTCATTAGTAATAGACCCTTATAGGGCCAACGTCACTATGACATCATGTTGGTCAGTGTTTACTTATTCAAGTAACACTGGCGGTCCCGGAGAGTGAGTGACCTGACATGGTGCGTTGGTAAATTCAGTCTGACGCTCTACACTAAAATGAGAGCCCTGTTGGTGGAAGAAACGCAGCGTTATATTTCTACATGAATGAACCAACGCTTAAGTTAATCACACATTCACTCCGCTCGGCGCTCTGCTGCTCCGTCTCCACAGACAGAGTGTCCAGAGTGCGCTCTGCCACTCTGACAGTGCGCTGCTCTGGATAACCCAACAGTATCCAGAGTATTTCTGAACGCACCACTCACATCATCTTCCTCCATCGTCTAAAACAAGACAACACAACTTGTTAGCTAGCGCTAGCTAATGTCTGTGGAGAACTGTATTGCCTCCAGCTAAGCCCCGCCCACCAACAAACATCACACTGTTTACTAACAGTAAAAGAGTCTATAAAGCTTTCTGACTTTTTAAAATTGAAAGTTTGTGCAGTAATTCATTGGTACATGAAGTGTTTTGAAATCAATCTCTCTGTGTGTCTCAGGCAGAAAACCTTCTGCTGGACGCTGACATGAACATTAAGATCGCAGACTTTGGTTTCAGTAATGAGTTCACTCTGGGCAGTAAGCTGGACACCTTCTGTGGATCTCCTCCCTATGCTGCTCCTGAACTCTTCCAGGTGATCGCCCAGCTCCACCCACCACACCTGCATAACCAACACCTGCTGATGTCCACGCTTTACATTACATTCTGCTTCATACAGGTCACATCCTCACATTTATAATGCTCATCAGTTTCTTAAAAGGTTCAGTGTGTCAGATTCAGGGGGATTTAGTGGCATCTAGTGGTGAGAGGTTGCAACCAGCTGAAACTTCTCCTGTTAACAATCTCTGAGATGTCCACAACTCCAGCACGCTGCTTCTTGCCTCTTTTACCGAGTCTGTTGGGTGAAGGAGAGGTGGCGTCCCAGATGATGTCCTGCTGAAAGTCGGAGTCATTCTGCGGAGACTCTCAACTGAAAACACCGACTGCTCTGGATCTTGGGATTCTGGTCGGAGTCTTGAAATCCGGCTGTTGGCTCTTTGTCAGAATTCCTTCAGTGTTCATTGTTCAATAGCTAAATTATCCTCAGAGGTCTCTTCCTCTCAGAGACAAACACACCAGCTGATTTAAACTGTAAAAACACTAAAATAAATAATAAATAATAATAAAAAAAAAGTCACAGGAGTTTAAAGGCCACAAACATATTCTAGATGTCTCTGTCATTTTATACACAAGTAATGTGACATGTTTGTCATCTGTGGACAGAAGGAATAAATGGGGGGACAAGATGTAAAGAATGGGACAGAGGTGAGGTGGGATGAAACGGGGAAGAAAAGATGAGAAGATTTTATATCCCAAAGGTCAAAGTGACATCATCATGTTTTAACGTCATATCTCAGGAACAGAAGGGGAGACATTTGGTCAGATACTGAATTGGTGACTCTAATCTTGAAACTGTGCTGATTGTATAGATCTTCTGTGTGTGAAGCATCCATGTTTTCACTGACATGGATGGAGACTGTAACTGCAACCTGACAGGTTCACGGAGGCGTGCAACCGCGAGGCGGAAATTCTAGTTTTAAATGAACAAAATCTGAGCGAATATTGGAGTCGCAGCTTTGATGGTATCAGGAGGAGTTTTTCGTTCAAATGGATGAAAATATGTTTCGACATATTTAAGGTAAAACTTAGTGATTCAGACTGAATTTGACTTCCTAAACTAAATTTAAAACTTAATTTACAAGGAATTATGTAATGGTATAATGAACATGCAGCACCTGAGGACAGTGAGGACTGCTGGGTAATGTAGTTCTGTATCTCTGCAGGGGAAGAAGTACGACGGGCCGGAGGTGGACGTCTGGAGTTTGGGAGTGATTCTGTACACACTGGTCAGCGGCTCGCTGCCCTTCGACGGGCAGAACCTCAAGGTGTGGACAAAATAACAGAAACACCTTTCAGCAATGTAAAAACAGTCACATTTCACAGTTACAGGAAGTACTGCACTGCTGTTGTATTCAGTGTACAGGAAGGACGCTCCGTTAGCTGGTCGGTTAGTACAGTAAGTGAACCTGGAGTCAAGCTGCTGGTCAGTGCTGCAGGGATGAAGATTTTCTGTAGGCTGAAGCAGAAGTTAGCGTCGCTGTGGTTCCCTCGTCAGAAAGCCAGGGGGATTTTTCCGTTGGATTTTGAATGATTTCAGAAAATAAGATGGTTCCCACGGTCCTGGAAAACCTGGAAAAGTCGAGGAAGGTTTTGGTAAAGTCCTGTTTATTGTGTGTAATGAAATACTTACAGTAGTCTTCTGTGATAACCGTCCACTTAATGTAACATAACAGCAAATTTATGTTCTGTAGGCACGACGTAACGTAGCTCCAATACGCGTCCATGTGTGACGTTTGTTTACCAACGTGTATGTTTCCTCATTTTCTCCCTGCGTTGCGTCTCTCCCTCCGTGTACGACACCTAGCTAACGATTACGGGCAAGCAGGGCAAGAAGAATATAAATATTGAGGGTCCTTGAAAAATTCATGGAAAAGTTTTGAAGTTTTGTCCATGTAAATGTGAGGGGACCCTGAAATTAACTCTGCACCCCAAAAAAAGTTTATGATACTTACACGTTTTGTTCAGTGAGATCATTTTCACTAATAAACACCACTTTATGATAATTGAAGCCCAAATTAAACTAGCAGAAGTAAAAATGTCATGTTAGGCTGTAACCTAACTACACCACGGTCACATGACTTAACATCACCACAGTGAGGCTGTAAAGGTGCGTTCAGTGTGCTGACGTTCTGTAGTCTCATTTAGCAACTTGTTAGCAACCGTCTTTTTAAAGACCCTTAAAGGTTGAGAGTTATCGTACCGTGTGCATTGTTTATCTACGATATTGGGGGGAAAAATTTCTCAAACTTCCATTAACAGAATGATGTCAAGTTTCAAATACAGTAATAAAACGTTTGTTCAATAACCGTTCTGTTTTCATTCCTTTACGGCTCTGACAGATAATAAATTCTGTAGTCCTGTGAAACTGCAATATTTTCTGAGACCACTGTCATAACGTGAAAATCTCATACTGTTGCAACGTATCTTATGTCGTAGAACAAAACGTGAAAGTCTCTTCAGCTTGTGTGAACCAGACCTTGTTTCAGACATCTAAGCAAAAACACACTCACTTTGAGACGAGGGAGCAGGAAGTGCTAACATGCTAACTCATCTCTGGGTTTTAGGACTCATTCCTGCAGCACTCTACTGGTGATTATTTCATAATCAATTCATCTGCTGATTATTTTCTCAATGAATCATTTCAGCCCATTTAACAACAGAAAATATTTAAAATCTAGTTTCCCGAGTTGATGCCCAGTCAAAAAACCAACACATATTTAATTTACCATCATGTTAAGTCAAATAAGAGCAAAAGTTTTTACATCTGAGGATGTTAAAAGAATGTTTTTAACATACAAATGACTCCAACAGTTTATCGATGACCAGAATAGCTGCTGATTATTTTTTGTTGACTGTCTAATCAATTAATCAACTGATCGTTGCAGCTCTACTAAATTAATGAGCTAATGCTAATTTTCCAGTATCAGTCAGCTGATGTCTGTTAGCTGACAGCAAGTCAGAGGTTCGTAAGAGCTTTTTCACAAAACAGTCCAACTTCAGAATCTTCGACTGGCTTCTGACAGTCCACACTGTGTGTGTGTGTGTGTGTGTGTGGGTGTGTGTGTGTGGGTGTGTGTGTAGGAGCTAAGGGAGCGTGTCCTCAGAGGAAAGTACCGGATTCCCTTCTACATGTCGACTGACTGTGAGAACCTGCTGAAGAAGCTGCTGGTGCTGAACCCGGGGAAACGAGGCAGCCTGCAGGTGAGACCAGTGTCAGGGGCGGAGCCTTGTGTGAACTTTTTCAGACATGTTTGACATGTGGACCGGGCCGGTGTACCGAATTTTACCAGGTGTCATCATTGAGTCTGCAGCTGCTCCTTAGCAGAACATAACGACACCGTGTCCCCACAGAGAACCAGCGTCTGACTGTCATGTAACATCGAAACTCTTTGTCAACACTGAATCTGTTAAATATCAACTTCTATTACGACTTCTAAACTACACAGCCATCAGCTGGTGAGCTCGAGATCAGACTGCAGACACAACCACTTTAAAGATGAGTGAGTAACCTACTTGCTATCTTCCTACATTTGTAACATAACTCTTAAAAACAGCACCAGTACGTTGTTTTCAGCGATGGTCATTTACCTGAAACTCTCAGCTCCCTGGTGATCTCTGTCCAGCTGACACCTTATTAGGTTGAAACAAGGAGGTATTGTGTGGATAAGTCCTCATTTCAGCTACATGAATCAGCCGCTCCTTGCCCGTAGTGACGCTTTCAAAGCAAGCATCAGGAATAAATAGAAACTTTAGCTCAAAACGGAGCCTGCAGTCTGTCAGGACGCCTCTTTCAGTGGCTTCAGATCCAAAATGTTGTCATATTGGTGCTACTCTTGCCACCAGACAATCGGAGATCTCCGCCTTCTGATAGTCTGGGGACACTCCTTTCTAAAGTGTGTTTAACACACCGGCGAAAACGGCCGGCAACAAAGCAACGCCTCTTGCATTTTTAAAAAGGACACACCATCACGGAAATGTGCGCTCCTCCTTTTCTCGTCCGCAAGGAAACAAACACACAGAGAGCTTGAAAATGGATGCCGAGAGATTAAACTCTGTTTTATCAAACGTGTGCTCAGTCCACAAGATTGTGGAAATGAAGGACTTACAGCGACTTGAGCCATTTTGTACCGCTACACGTGTTTCTAGTGGGACTATGTTTATGAGCACAAGAGTTCAGCGAGCCACCGAAGGACCGCCCTGCAGATTTACTATTGGTTCTGCAACGTAGGAAGTTTTTTTAAACTCTGAAATTGTATCCGCCCATCTAAACACAAAATCAGGGAGAAAGACGTCAGTCTTTAGTTAAGCAAAGCGTCTAAAGACTGACTTGTGAGTCTATATTGGTGCAGTTTTAGTTTTCTTGAGGGACGATCTCTGCCATGTCTCCTCTCGTCACCCAAAAACATGTGAACTTCTTTGTAAACAAATGTGTGATACTCTGCCCCTCCCACCTCTACAGAAGTTAGAGCTCCTTCCTGTCGCCACGCTCAGCTCACGGCCTGTCAGACACTCGTGTCTCTGTTAGTCAGTTTATAAACATAATATCATGTAGAGCACGTCTTAATATCAACAAGTCAAAGACACAAGTCATGTGCATGAATACCACCAACCCTACACCTATCACCATCAATGGCGTGACACTTGACTTTGTAGAGGACTTCACATACGTGAGGAGCCTCATCAGCAAGGACGACGGAGCGAAAAAGGACATCCAAGCAAGGCTCTCCAAAGCTCGTGGGGCATTCGCAAGACTTCAGCCAATCTGGAAGTCCAGACAGTACAACTTTTGGACTAAGACTAAGCTCTACAACAGCAATGTGAAATCAGAATGCTGGCGAGTGGTGAAAAGAGACAGGGATAAGAACACCTGACTGAGAACAGTTGAAGGGGAGCTGAAAGAAATGAAGCTTACATGGGGAGAGGCACAGAAAGTAGCACAACACTGAGATGAATGGCATCGAGTCGTCGAAGTCTTATTTCCCTCCCGGGAAGAAGAGGATTAAGTAAGTAAGTAATCACATTGTCGTGTTGCTTAATACAAATGCAGTATGAGTTGGATTTAGTGCTGTGACACAGTCAGCACAGGTTGATGATGTAAGCTACTTCTCAATTTGCCAGAACGAGTCATCATGACAAAGTGGGTTCAGCTGTTTTGGTTAGATTCAGACTGTTTAAGCTCGTGCATGGGACCAGATTCTAGTAGAACCAGCAAGCAAAGAGCTGTGCTTATCTTATTTATTAAATTATTTAACCTTTAACTAACCAGATAAGTCAACTGAGAACCCTTTACAATGACGACCCAGCCAAGAGGCGGCGACACGAGGCGAGTCAATAAAAGACGGTAAAACGTAGATTCAGCTGGTGCAATAAAACATCATCAGATGAAATTAAAACATCACAATATATACAGTATATACAGCATCAGTGATCTGTGTACTGTGCTCCATCCATCTGTCCATCAGACGTTCCTCTCCCTAGCAACGCTTTCCAGCTCCTCCTGGAGGACCCTGAGGTGTTCCCAGGCCAGATGAGATTTATAATCCCTCCAGTGTGTTCTGGGTCTGCCCCGGGGCCTCCTACCAGTGGGACGTGCCTGGAACACCTCCAGCTGGCACCCAGGAGGATCCTGATCAGATGTTGATGCTGACCCCTTAAGGGGCAGCAGCTCTACTCCGAGCTCCTCCCCCTATCTCTAAGGCTGAGCCCAGACACCCTTCTGAGAAAACTCATTTCTGACGCTCGTGTCAGCGATCTCGTCTTTTCAGTCACTACCCAGAGCTCATGACCATAGGTGAGGGTTGGGACGTAGATGGACCAGTAAGTCAAAAGTTTTGCCTTCTGGCTCAGCTCCCTCTTCACCTCTTAAATTGCCCCCTGGGGACAAATAAAGTTTATTGAATTGAATTGAATTGACAGTCTGGCGCATCACTGCAGACACATCTGATTAGCAGACTGGAAGGAGGTATGAATTTAGGAGTGATCATACTAATGACTTTTCCAGAGTTTAAGTTACTGTTGGAAGTATTGAGGAGAGCAGAGAAATAGAGGCATTATGCCAGTAGTGTAATAAATAAAGTGATACGAGTGGATGTGTCGCCTGATGTGGACGCAGTGATGGGTGGCTGATGAGAGAATACAGGTTCAGCTTCACAATAAAAGCCTCTGAGGAGTTTCCAGATGTAAGTTTTGTTTTACTGTGAAGCGACTGCACAAGGTGTTTGATTAACAGCAGATCAGCTCTGACAGCTCTGTTTATTGATCACCACACCCTCCAATCTATATTCACCTTTTCTCAGCCCCTCTGTACGTTGTGCTGCTGCACAGCCACAAACTAAAATAGGTGGAGACACTGGCACAATCTGTGCGCCCAGGTTCTGCCACTCTGTGCACCCAAACTGTTTAACAGCTGAATGAAAGAGCTCCTGTTGTTTGTTTGTTTGATTGTTTGTTTGTTTGTCAGCAAATCATGAAGGATCGCTGGATGAACATTGGGTATGACGAGAAGGAGCTGAAAACATACAGCGAACCAGAACAAGACTTCAACGACCTCAAACGCATCGGTTAGTTCTACAAACCCAGAGAACATTGCCCTCATCCATTTGTTATATCTGAATACACACTGAATGCAGCTGCTCTAGATGACCCATAATCCTCTTTGTTTCATGATGTCACTATTATCTGAAGCAGACCTTATGAATTTAATAACATTGAGTTATTAAATTCAGCCTAAATACAGCCTCTCAGAGCTGAGAGTACTGTGTGTTTTCTGACCAATCAGAGCTGATGGAGACGATGGGCTTCACTCAGGAGGAAGTGACAAAGGCGCTGGAGGGCCAGAAATACAACGAGGTGACGGCGATATACCTGCTGCTGGGGAGGAAACCCGCTGAGGTTTGTGACTGTTGTATACTCAGTGAAATCTGCGGAACATCTAAAGTCCTCTAGGTGATATTTGTTTACCATTTGGGAACAAGTTTTTTATATTGTGGGACAAGTTAATACCTTTTGGGAACACGTTTATATATTGTGGGAACAAGTTAATACCTTTTGGGAACAAGTTTATATATTGTGGGAACAAGTTAATACCTTTTGGGAACAAGTTAAAATATTGTGGGAACAAGTTAATACCGTGTGGGAACTAGTTTATTATCTTGTGGGAACAAATTAATGTCACGTTGGAACAAGGAATTGGAGGAACAAGGACAGGAGATAAAATCTTCTAACAACTCCAGCCTGTAACTGGGCCAGTCTTCTACCCATAATCCTCTGCTGTGACTGTCCCCACTAGTTTGAAGGCAGCGAGTCTTTGTCCAGCAGTAGCCTAGTTCATAGGTCACGACCCAGCAGCGACCTCAACGGCTCCAGCCAGTCCCCCGCCCATTCTCGCAACGCACCGGCCAATCAGAAGCAGCGGCGCTTCAGCGACCACGGTGAGTTTCTGTCCAGACGTGACCGAGCTGGTCCAAAGCTCTGGGGACATTAGAGTGTTAACCTCAGGCCTCTGTTTGCTGTCTGTCCTGTGTCTCAGTGGCGCCCTCTGTCCCCCCATCTGTCTCCTACACCAAGCGTTCTCATGCCAGCAGCGTAGAGAGCGACAGGAAGGACGAGCCAGCGTCACCAGTGGGAGCTCCAGACCGCAGGAGGTCAGCCACCGCCTCAGGGGTGAGAGGATTCAGATACCAGGTCCAAACCAGGTCCAAACACCAGGGTTGTCTCGAGTATCACTTAGTCTGAGCAATCTAATGGAATATGGTCCAAATGACACAGGACAGGACAGGATAAGGACTACCACACTGATAATGCTGGAACAAACTGTAGAGACATGGCAGTCCAACATGTTTGTGTTTATTTGTCTCCTCTTTTGGGAGATCTATGTTACGTTTTCAAAAATGCAATAAAGAAAAAAGCCGTGGGTGAGCATCAAACATTTTGAACAAACGCGTCAGCTCTCAGCGCTTCCGTAGGAATATGCGTCTGATCGTATTGTTTCATTGAGTTTGTATGAAATCACGCTGTCTCTAAAGTTCACCTCACACGGTTCAGCACAGCTAAAACCAAGTGAAGTGTGATCGCCACTTTAAAGCTTAATCCTGTTAGTCTTTGTTTTGAGTTTGTAAAAATGAGGGTCACGATGCAACATGTCTTTTACCACAACATTAACTGTAACCTATGAGAACATGGTGGAATACAGAAACATTGATCACGGTGTGATGGATGACCTCAGTGATTTACAGCACAGTTCAACACAGTTTTCTTATGGCCTTAAACACGTTGACTCATTCATGAAATGTTGGTAAATCTGTGAGTAGATTTGCACACAAAAAAACTTGGGACTAAAAACCTGCACCGTATTCATGAACACAGCAGAAAACTCAGATTTGATCACAGGCACGTGTATGTTTATGAATGTTAATCAATCATAAATTGGCAGCATGCTCCTGCTAGTCAGCAATTAGCATACATCCCTGAATCCTGAATATCCAGTGACACCACATACAGAGGTGATAATTACTGTGGACAGGTGCATCCTGTCGACCTGTGAACATGGAGGAAACAAACAAAGACAGAGACAGAAAGAAAAACTTTCCTGACGCAGAGACTGAAATTATTTATCATTTTGCCCGCTGTGTAGATAGGTGCCCTTTTTGGGTGAGAGGCAGGGTTCACCCTGGACAGGTCACCAGACTATCACAGGGCTGACACATAGAGACAGACAACCATTCACACTCACATTCACACCTACGGACAATTTAGAGTCACCAGTTAACCTGCATGTCTTTGGACTGTGGGAGGAAGCTGGAGCACCTGGAGGAAACCCACACTGACACAGGGAGGACATGTCGGAGCACCTGGAGGAAACCCATGCTGACACAGGTAGAACATGTCAGAGCACCTGGAGGAAACCCACACTGACACAGGTAGAACATGTCGGAGCACCTGGAGGAAACCCACGCTGACACAGGGAGAACATGTCAGAGCACCTGGAGGAAACCCACGCTGACACAGGGAGAACATGTCAGAGCACCTGGAGGAAACCCACACTGACACAGGGAGAACATGTCAGAGCACCTGGAGGAAACCCACACTGACACAGGTAGAACATGTCGGAGCACCTGGAGGAAACCCACACTGACACGGGGAGAACATGTCGGAGCACCTGGAGGAAACCCACACTGACACAGGGAGAACATGTCAGAGCACCTGGAGGAAACCCACGCTGACACGGGGAGAACATGTGAAGTCCACACAGAAGGCCTCCCCCACCCTAGGTTCAAACCAGGTTGCTGTGAGGCGACAGTGCTAAGCACTGCACCACCCGGCGCCTGCATCTTTTTAATAATTCTATGTTTGCCCGACAGCTGCATCTGAGTCGAGCCTCTGCCCCTCCCTCTTCAGCTTCCTCTGAGTCAGCTGCATGCTAGTTGAGCGCCCTGCAGAGCAGCATTCCGTCTCCCTGACCTGTCGTCATGGGCAGTCAGGAAATCAAAGTGTTTGCCCTCAGCCAGACGCCAAAGTGCTTTCCCACGTCCACAGGTCTTATTAAACCAAAACTGTTTGGGGCTGCGGTGCGTAAAGAGCGCAGAGGAGATGTTATTTTATTTATTCAGAGAGCAGTGTTCTGGGACTCATTATTAGATCAGTGAGGAGCTTACCTGGCTTCGAACAATGAACTCTGGACTGTCCGAGTGAGGCTCGAATTCACCACGATGCACTGATACTGTTTTGTTGTGCTTTATGTATGCTCGTTTGTCTGTGTGTAGGTTTTTTGTTTTTTTTTACTTGTTATTTTTATTTATTTTTCTGCAGGTGACAGTCCACAGCCGTTTTCAAAACACACTTGTGTCACGCACTCCAAAAGAAACTTGTTGAAACTTTAAACAATAATTTATTGTACAAAACGGGGGAAACAAACGTTGACAAAAATGGTTCCATAATTCATATTAAATTCAAAAGATAACGAAAAACAGCTACAAGTTAGAGGGAATAGTGATAAAGTGGTAAAACTTGGCATTGATCCACAGCCTCAGACGGATGCGCTCAAGCGTGCCGTGCGCACAAGCTCAGTTGGTAGGCTATACTATATTTGTATATTTTTAACAATGCAATTTAAAAGTTTTGATTTTTATTGATAACCTACATTTACCAACAACAAAAAGACTACATTTAGCACCAAAAAATATGTAAATATGTAAAAATAATAATAATAATAAGTAAATAAAAAAAATAATATCAAATACCAAATTTTCATAACGAATACCTACCCACTAGGGTTGGGAATCTCTCTGATAGACGATTCGATACGTATCTAGATACTCGGGTTACGATACGATTCAAAAACAATATATTTTTAATACAGAGCGATTCGATACAGTGTAGGAACGATACGATTCGATATGATTCTATGGCTAACATTTGTTGATGTAGACATTTATCATACATTATAAAATAAAGAAGCCAATTCTATAAAAGTGACATTCTTACAGTATTTTCAAATTTGTAAAGACCACATCCCCAAGCATTGTTGCTGTATGGCACTGGCAAAAATAAAATATAAAGACAAACAACAACAAAATCACATGTCAAATGTATTTATTTTTAGACATGGACCAAAAAAAGTCTTGCTGAATGAACATCATTTTGTTGGATGGGATCAATATAAAAATGAGAAGAAGTTTTAAACTTTAAGTGAAGTTAACTTTAAGTAAAATTTAAGTGTTTTAAACCTACTTGTTGTGTTGTTTTCATGGTATTGTCTGTGTTTTTGTATGTATCTTATATGGACTTGAGTCTGGAATAAGTAAGTAAGTAAGTAAAATTTATTTATAATAACTTTATAATAAAGTTTATCATAACGCTGTACAATATAAACATAAAGCAGAATAAAATAATAACATGCAATGTAGGGGCAGAATCTGACATCTCCTGTTATTAGTTGATATCATGGACTGTGATGACTAGCAGCTTATCACTGACAGCATGTCAGACTATTTCTCTGTTTGCTACACTCTGTGTTTGTCATTTATAAAAAGATAAATCACTTTTCTATAACACATCAATGATATTTCAATGGAATAAATTACTTATTGACTTATTCATACTTCAAAAACAGCATCAATAAGTGATTAACATGGGGGGGGGGGGGGTTTGTGGAAATGTAAACTGCTCGTTCCTCCTCTGACACGTCACATACCTGAGTGCTGCCAGGGCTCGCCTGGTATTTCTGGGCAGTCATGACACCGACGAAGACTTCTTGGACCTGGAGCCAGGCTTCTCGGTCGCCGGCCGGTAAGCCGTTATCATGCGCCGCCGTATTTGACAGGAATACGTATTTCTGTCTGTGTCTGTGACCCCGCGTTCAACCCACAACCAGCAGGATTCGCCTGCAAAAATAGAAGTCCTGCGTATCTGTTGCGGAGGGCTCCGGAGCGCCGCAGCTGTGACGGGCCGGAACGCAGCACAGCCGCAGCCGGTGGAAACACACACATTGACTAGAATTGAATCCTATCGGCTCCGCTGCCGTGCCGGAGCGCAGACGCAACCAACACACATCTGGTGGAAATAGGCCTTTAGCTTCTGCTGCGGCTTGGCTGCTCCCTGGTTTATCGAACCAGCATCAACCAGCTTCTGTTCCTCATCTCCACCGGTCAAGCTGGCGCTGATGTTTACATCCATTATCGTTGTCAGTAATGCCTGCTACGGAGCATGCCGCCGGCTCTCGCGTTGTTTTTGAGATGCAAACTGTTAAAGCCAGTCAACCGATTGCTAGTCTCGCGATACCCGAATCCATGACTCTACAATCGATTCATCTAAGGATTCATGGCTGATTCGTATCGATTGAGGAGGCTGCTACCGACGTAGCCGTATCTTTCGCTTGTCAAATCGGATATCCGGTCGTATCGATTAATCGTTCCCAACCCTACTACCCACAGAAACGAATATCCGAATATTTGGGTACAGCCCTACTTGTATGTTAATCTATAAATAAAGTGTAAGAAATGTGGTGTCATGATGGATTGAGTTTCACAGTGTGGCTGGATTGTCATGTCCTGATTTGCTTCCTGCTCCTCAGAGGATGATCCCTGTAGATTTAATGACCTTTATGACCTGTCAGTGTTGTCAGGTTGGATCAGTAGAATAAAGTGGACTGTGTCTGTTACAGAGCATAACTCGGAGGAACACGTACGTTCATGAGAGGACGAGCGCAGAACGCCACTCGGTTGCTATTCCCAACGGAAAGGACAGCAGGTGAGAGGAATTCTGGGAGTTATTTCATTGATTGCATGCTGTTATTCTTCAAATCAATATTTAATCTCTGTTTCAGTCTACCCGAGGTGCCTGCAGCATCCCCCTTCCCGTCACCTGGGGCAACTGTCTCCTCCACACGCCCCCGTCATGTCAAGTCCATGTCGGCGTCAGGACATCCCATGAAGTCCTGCCTGCCCCCCATTGACGACAACGCAGAGTATCAGAGGTGAATCAGAGTTCTGCTGTTGATTCATTAACCGTGGAAACATCTGTCACTACGTTAACAGCGTCTTCTCCTCCCGCCCCCAGCTCCCCCCAGCAGCCCCCGCCATCACCCTCAGCCTTCAGCGTCACCAGCAGCAACAGCAGCACCACGCCGGACCGGACCCGCTTCCCCCGCGGCTCCTCCAGCCGCTCCACCTTCCATGGCGCTCAGCTTCGGGACCGACGACCCGCCACCTACAACGGCCCGCCGGCCTCACCCAGCCTGTCCACGCACGCCACCACATGGCTGGTCACGCCCCGCCGCGGCACCTCCACCTCCATTATTGGAAAGATCACCTCCAAGTTTGTACGCAGGTCAGTAAGAGCCAGGAAGCTGACGTCATATCAGTTATTACAGAGTTGTTTCTTTAGCGCTCTCACCTTCACCTTGTTTTAAAGTCACTGAAACTCATTTGGCCAGTCGGCTCCTCACCTCGACTGACAACGCTGAACGCAGGATTCTCCGTCATGGTTTAAACTGTTGCCTCTGTGCTGGAGACAGTTGTGGCCGGAGGCATTATGTCGTTGAGTTGTCCGTCTCACTCTCATGAATGCAACATCTCAAGAATGCATTGAAGGAATACCTTCTCATTTGGCACACGTCCACTTAGACACAGTGATGAACTGGCTAGAATTTGGTGGTCAAAGGTCACTGTGACTTTGCATCCGTCTCATTCTCGTAAACTCAATATCTGAAGAAGGAATTGAGAGATTTTCCTTAAATTTGGCACAAATGACGACCTGGACACAGGAATGATTAGATTTGGATGGTGATAGGTCAAAGGTCAAGGTCACTATGACCTTATCTATTTCATTCTTGTGAATGCAATATCTCAAGAATGTATTGAGAGAACACCTTCTCATTTAGCGCAAGCATCCACTTGGACACAGTGATGAATTGGTTTGATTTTAGTGGTTAAAGGTCAAGGTCATTGTAATGTGTCCATCACATTATCACAGAACAAGAATTCTGACTTTGAGGGCTTTGAGGAAATTTCCTCAAATTTGGCAACAAATGACCACTTGGACTCAAGAGTGATATGATTAGAGTTTGATGGTGATAGGTCAAAGGTAAAGGTCACTGTGACCTTGCCTGCCTCATTGTTGCATGTGCGATATCTCAAGAACACTTTGAGGGAATTTCTTCAAGTTTGGCACTAACATCCGTTTGGACTCAAGAATTAACTAATTAGAATTTGGTGGTCACAAGTCAAGGTCACTATAATCTTGTGTTGATCTCATTCATGAGAACGGGATATCTTAAGAAAGCCTTGGGGGAACTTCCTCATATTTGGCGCAGATGTCCACTTGAACCCAAGAATGAACTAATTAGAACTTGGTAGTCAAAGGTCAAAGGTCGCTGTTGCCATCATTCAAGAATTCATATGCTAATTATGACAAAACTTCACACAAATGTCTAACAGGATAAAGTAATGAAGTGATGACATTCTATATCCAACAGGTCAAAGGTCAGCTTCACTGTGACATCATCATGTTTTAATGTCATAACTCAGGAGCAGATGGGGAGACATTTGGTAAACTTTTGTCAGATAACGGTTAAGAAAGTGCCCATGAAGAATTGCTCTTGCTGTGTTCTGCCTCCACCACAGCACAGTGGGGGTGAAAGGATCTGAAACTGAAAATAAAAAATCTTAAAAATTATACACTTGTCATGTGGACTCTATGTAAATATATTCCAAACCCGTCTGTGTGGAGAGAAAGAAAAAACCTGTTTTTGTGTAATTTTGGTAAACTGTCCCTTTAAGGCTCTGTGTCCACATAGCATTTTTTTTTTTCCCAGCAGAAAAGTGGCGGCAAGGTGCTGGGGAACGCTTCATCCCAGCGCCTCATAAAAAAGCACTGGTGCTGCTTTTTTTAATGATGTGCTGCGCATGGGTTTTGTTTCTATGACAACATCTTGACACTAACATTAGCCAGGTAGCTAACACAACGCTACATAAACACAGGATTGACTACACAGTCAAAAACAAGCTTACACAGCAAACAGTGATAAAATCTCAACACTCACCAGCATCATCTGGTGTCCGTCAGCCAATCTGCTCCCAAAACATGAACTTTTCTGTCTTTGTTGTGACAGTAGACAGTAGCCAAGCTAAAGAGGCGGCAGAGACGTCAACATAACAGTGCTCGGAGTGGCCGCACACAAAAGGTGGAGCACTCTTTTTTTGGAGGCGGCTGCTTATGCTCGCTCCTCATTCAGAACAATTGAAAAAAGATGCTATATGGACACAGGCCTTAGCACAGATTAACGTGGTCATCCTGAAAATGTCAAACATGTCATCTCCACGTTGAGAGCCGCTGCAGCTTCCTGTTCTCTGTTAATGATTTTGTTGGGTCTCATCCTCCAGGAGTTTTGCAAGCGAGCCCAAAGAGGAGGGGCGGGACTCCAAGCCTCGAGCCCTGCGCTTCACCTGGAGCATGAAGACCACGTCCTCCATGGAGCCGGGGGACATGATGAAGGAGATCCGAAGGGTCCTGGACGCCAACAACTGTGACTACGAGCAGCGTGAGCGCTACTCGCTGTTCTGCGTGCACGGCGACGCCCGGCAGGACAGTCTGGTCCAATGGGAGATGGAGGTATGCAAGCTGCCCCGCCTCTCGCTCAACGGCGTGCGCTTTAAGAGGATCTCCGGCACGTCCATCGCCTTCAAAAACATCGCCTGCAAAGTGGCCAACGAGCTCAGACTGTGAAGGGCTCCCAGTCATCATCAAAGGAGAATACCTCTCTGTTCTTCACACAGTGACGCCCCACCAAGTGACGGCGGCCATCTTGTGTTCAGCACGTCGCTAACTGCTGTATGACTCAGAGGAAAAAAACACCTTATTATACCCAACACACTTACTATTTAATGTTATCACTAAATGTTTGCCAGTGAAACCAAATAATCCAGCTGATGTTCGGCAGGTTGACGAGGCTGATGAGGGTGCTTGTTTGCTGTCACGACCTGCAGGAGCGAGACCCTCTGTTGGTTTGTCACTGTTTACCTGCACTTCAGATTTCTACAAAAAACTGAAACATCATGTAAAGTTGAGACAGGTCGACAGGATTAAAGCTGATCACACAGGCAGAGAAACCTGACGAGTCTCTGACTGGACTCTCAACTAAGAGATTAGCTTGTCAGAGAGCCACACGAGTGAAGCAGCAGTTACATGGAGGGAAATGACGACCAAACTTCCATCTGGAGTTTTCTAATATTATTGCAGTGCATGTAGACGTATGCTCTGACTCTCTGCTTCGACCTGAGTGTTAAAATCAGTCATCTGGTTTCTGGAGTGCAGATAAACAGTGAGTGAAACATGACCTCTGCTCCACCTGTGCAACTCTCCTGCTGCAAGAGTATAACAGCGAGCTGTGCGTGCACGTTACACAACCTTAACCAGCTTTATTGGCTTTAAACGTGTGAACACGCTCAAGGAAGGAATCTGACTCTGGTTTTCGTTGACCTTAAATACAAAGAAAATATCCATACAGCTAAAAGCAAGGACGACAAAACTAAACAAGATAAACATTGACCTGCATGTTGGTGAAGATTCTCAGTCATCCAGGTCATGGTAATCATAAGTGCTGTATCGTAGGCAGCTGGACTTGATTGCGTTTCTTGAAGATGTTTCACCTCTCATCCAAGAAGCTTCTAAATGACTGGTGCAGAGTCGCAGGCTTTAAACTCTGTGTGGGTGTGAACCCTTGCAGAGTCGTTGAGGTCACATGTGAGCTCTGAGTTTTAGTTTCCAGAGAAGAAAGATCCCAGCAAGCATTTTTTGGTTTAAAAAACGTCTAATAGCCGTCTGCATGAAGACCTGACGTCTAGGCTAAATCATGGCTGAATTTGGGCTTTCAGTGAAAATTTGGTAGACGTCTAACCATAGCCAAGGTGTAGACATCATCAATTATACAGCTATGTAGAGACCATGTCCAAAAAATGGAGATAAACATATTTTAATTACTGTTGACTCTCCATACGTGATTGAGTATCATACCGCACGCCATCTGCAATGGCGAAAATTACATTTAATCTATTTCAAAATTAAATCGGCTAGATTTGGGTTACATGTAGCAAGACTAAATTGGAGCTAAATATAGTCAATACGTTTAAATCGCGATTATTGCTTGCTGGGATGGTTTGAAAGAAGCCACCTACGTCAAACTGGAACGACCATAGTTAAAGAGAGGAGGTGGCCTGTGACACCATGTATCACCCACCTACAATGCAGTTTGGGGATCCCTCCCCAAATGACTTCACAGCCATTCACACCTGGACCCATGTAACCCTAATGACATGCAAGATGGCCAGGTGGGTCAGTGACTCACATGTGACCCCGATGACTCTGCAAAGGTTCACACCCACACAGAGTTCAAAGCCTGTGACTCTGCACGAGTCATTTAGAAGCTTCTTGGATGAGAGGTGAAACGTCTTCAAGAAACTCAAGCAGGTCCAGCTGCCTCAGATACAGCACTTATGATTGAGCTGCACTGTACAGAGAGCAACAGTGCAAGGGAAAAATATGATTGGTGTAACAGGTTAAGCAGTCCCTCAAGGATTTGCATTTATGTTTTTGGGATTGTTGCAGCCTGAAATGTCTGTTTTCACAGCAGCCTTTAAAAAAACTGTGATGCATGTTGCTGTTATTTTTAGGCTTTTTTTTTTTTTTTTTTTTTTTGCAGTGAAATTGTGGGATCAATTGAAACTGTCTCAGGTTCGGAGTTTATCTCGATGAGCACTCAGTAGACCTTTTTACACAGAGATGGCGCTATAGAGTTGCTACAAAGTCCCTGCTTTAGGCCGCCTTTACATTTTTACACAGAACCAAACAACAGCGGCATCATGTCGCTCCAGTGTGTGATTATACACAGCATCCTGCCATTAAAAGAGGCATCACATTTAACACAACAGCGTCAGCCTCTAGTGTGACATATAACATGTCAATAACAATCATTCATCCCTGTTACATGGCGGCTGATCTCGCCTGCTGCTCAGAGGGTAAGGAGCTCCTGGACCTCTTTTTTTATTACTGTTTGCAGACAGTTACAGCTGCCGTTCTTCTTTTTTCAGTTAGCTGCAGACTGCTAATAGCTACTCTTTAAATCTCCTGCGGTGGGTCGCACACTTGGGTAGTCACTTCCAACATCAGACACCAACCACTTCTGCGTGATTGTAAAGCCAAACCCTGTTCTTTTTTCCAAAACCCAACCGTGTGTGTGTTGGCTAAACGTAACCACGTGTGTGCGATATTGAAGGGGAAAAAAAAAGTCAATTTGCGGTGTTGTGTTTATGTAGTGCTTTTATTTTGAAAGACTGTATGCAAGCTGTGTTACAACGCATGTAACAGGCTGAAGTTGACACGGCGTCCCAGAACGTCAACAACCAACACACCCAGGGTACCTTGGACGTCATATGTGGACGTGGAAAGTCCATGACCAAACGTGGACATGTGACGAGGTCACAGTGAGGATGAGTTACATCATACGTTGTCAAAAGATCACAGCCATGCTGCCCATGATCCTGGTTATACAGACACCCTTTTGGCACTGTTACTGCCTCCCATGGTGGATCAAAGGCGAGAAAACACTTTCCCCTGTTCCGCAATCGTACCTTATATACAGAACGGCGAGGCGGCATGATGCTGTGATATTCCCGCCCTGAACAGGCTGTGTAAAAGGTGGCTAGTGCTTCCCACAGAGTTAGAATCTATTTGTGATGGTGGGAGGGGGCAGAAACATGTGATCACCAACAATCAGCTGTTTCTGCTGTTTGAAGCAGCGCTGAGGGACAGTCTTCATGAGCCACACTCCTCCTGCTCTCTACCTGGTTAGCATGACTAACATCCAACACCGAGCCGTTGAGCAGTCCCAGCCGTCTCACCGTCTCTGTCATTAAACCTGTTAACAAACGTTGGGTAATGTCAGCTGTGTGATGCTAACAGTTAGCCCTGTCACTGCAGTCCCATGATAAACAGAGAGAGGGGACAAGGAGGGGCTGAACAAATCAATGCGCTGCACGCAGCTCTACAATAAAATTTGATTTTATTTGTCAAATTTGCAGTAAAGTTGCAGTGACTGGACAAAATTTTGGGGTCACACAGATTTAACAGGGATTAATTTGCAGTAATTGTTGTGGTCCCACCATCAGAACATCCTGGAGGGACCGGCTGATCATTCAGTCATTACAGTCTGAAACACGATATTTAATAAATCAGTCTGCTCATGTGTCTCTGATGGTGTAAAACTGCCTCAACCTCCATCACTACAGAGCCAGCTAGATAGCTGACCAGTTAGCAACATCATCAATGTAGCTAACTGAAGATGTGTTCAGACCAGTCTCACGTAGTCAGACCTGTCTCCACAGAGCTGTGTCAGCACCAGAGGAAGGTTGACAACGGCAATTCATTAAGAGAACGAAGCGGCCGTGCGTTATCACCCGATCCAAATCTTCATCAAAACTCGGACATCAGTGAGTTCTAATATAAATTAAAATATCGTGCCATTTATTGGTACAAATGATTCATATTAGATGTGAAAAGACTTTAAGAGGAGAAGTGAAGGTGGTACACTGAGGAGACACATCGGTGCAAGTTGACAATATTTCAACTCAAGGTTTTCTAACTCCAGTTCATGAACGTAAGGACGAAGGAAAAGGAGAGAAACTGCCGGAAAATAAGTGAAAGAACTGCATGAATTTATTTATCGGTGAATTCGCCACCAGGTTGTTCAGCTGACGTCCGTGCAGTCGGTACATGAGCTGTTTGTGTGGAGTAAAAAGTCCAGAGGTCGTATCTGTGCAACTGATCACGAGCACAGACGTTGGCTCATCAGTGACTGAAGGTGTCTAACTAACGCAGGTTTCATCCCGTCGTTCTGATGTAACGGCCTCGAGTTTGAACGGGTTCCATGAAGCATCTTCCTTCCTGGTTTTAAACGTTCTCAGTCGCAGTCGCCTGATTGATGCAGACGTTAACAGCAAATATCCAGTTGCGCAGTCGAGTTGCACAGTTTGCAGTCGAGGGAATGAGTCATGAAATGTGACGACCAATCAGGAGGTGACAGTGTGTGACCTCTGACCTCTCCTGCTGACTCATGTTAATACTGTTGCAATAATCCTAGAGCTTTTGGTGAATGATGTCAGTGGTTCAAACACAAACTCTAAAGCTCAATGAATCTTTTTTCTTAACACATTAACAGCTGACAGAACAGAATGTGTCTCTATTGTTTGATTGTTGTCGCTGTACAACGTGACACCTGTCCAGGTGAATATGTGCAGGTACAGTATTGATCAGTCTGATTTTACTTTGTCCACACTGTCTTCTTTTTTTCCACCATTGAAACGTAACTATTTTTCAAAGCTTTCAGCAGCGAGATCAAACTTGATTTTTATGTTGCTGCTGAACGAAGCATCAAACCCGAACCACACCATCGAGCAACACATCCCGTTTAAACTTAAAGGATCAGTCTGGTGTTTTTCTATTGTTTTTTTTTATTATCAGCAAATCTCGTGCATGTCTGTGACTCATGAGTCTGTAGTTCCTTCAGTTGTTTCCTCAAACAGCTGCTCGCTGTAGTTTTTATCAAACAAACAGGAGGAAACCGTGACTTACTTTGGGACTATTTTCAGCGGCGGATTAATCCACATTTGGTGCAGTGAATGTGGAGATATATCAGGCCTACACACAGTACTTAGTGTGCTCGTTATTCAGCTTGTCCCTATCAGAGAACCCTTTTTGGTTCCTGGAAGAATCTTTTAGAAAGGATCCACCTGGAACTCTTTTAGAGGGTTCCACCTATAACCCAACAATAAGGGTTATACCTAGATCCATCTGTGAAAGGTTCCACCCAGAAACCCCTATGACAGGTTCTATAGAGAACCCTTTCACGATGTAATGGCTCCAACCACAACACTCTCTGGGGGTTCTGTTCAGAACCTTCATACCTTGTAAGGGTGCTAACACCTCACCCAGGGCGTTCTACCAAGAAACCTTTAATAAACCAATGGTTTCATCATAAAGCAGCTGAGGGGGTTCTACCATAGACTGTATATAAAGATGAAGGACACGTCTTTACTTCCCCCCTCTGTACAGACAAAGCTATGACATCCCGGATATGGCCGCTGCCATCTTCTGCTGGTGACGTCGTTTGGAGCCAGAGTCGCCAGCGGTATCGAGTTCCGTCCATACACCTTCTGACGAGCACACCGATTGGCCCACACAGCGGTCAGTCATGACCTCAGTCCCCCACCCACCTTTTGTTCTAACATAACGTGTGACCAACGTTATCAGAAAAACGAGCACTTTGACAAACATCAGCGTGATAAGAACTTCCCAACTGGTCCATGTCAGTCGGCTAACATGGAGGAGGTGGGGTTTATGACCTGTACTGCAGCCAGCCACCAGGAAGCAATTCGGATGTTTTGGCTTCACTTTTTGGGGAGCTGTCATGTCGTCAGTATTTACAGTCTATGGGTTTCACCGAGAACCCTTTCAAATTCCAAGGGTTTCATTTAGAACCTACTCAGGAGTTTCTTTTGAGAACCCTTTTATATTCCATGGGATTGATCAAGAACCCACCCAGTGGGACTCTAAGTTTATAAATTGACTACATTACCCATAGATCTCTTCCCCACTAATCATGGTTGTGGTTTAACAGGTGAGTCGCGGGTCAAGGGAACTGCGTCCTTAGGAGGCTCCATGAGGCTCCTAAAGGGCCGGGGCTGATGTGGTCCAATGTAACCTCGAACAACATGGTTCACAATTACGTTCTTGGGCAGCCGGTGATTTTGTGGAATCACCACCACTATAGCCTTTACTGTGGTTGGGAACCAAAACTCTTTTTCCTTAGTCTTCCTTAGTACAGAGAACCCTTGAAGAAACCATTCTTCAAAAAAGGGAGTCTTTGGATGGAAAGGGGTCTTCTAAAGGAACCCTTACCCTTACAAAGAATTGTTGAAGAAGCCTTTCTGTGAAAACTGGGTTCTTTGGAGGAAAAAGATACTTCAGAAGAAACCTTGAGTTGTACAAAGAATCCTTAAAGAACTCTTTTGTCCAAAAAAGGGTTTTGAATTAAAAGGGTTCTTAAAGGAACCCATAGTCTTACAAAAAACCCCATAAAGAACCCTTTCTTCAAAAAAAGGGTTCCTGGGGTGAAAATGGCTCTTCTTAAGGAACCTTAGTCTGACAAAGAACCCTCGCATTTCTACCAAAAAAAAGGGGGTTTTTTTTGGATGAAAGTGTTTCTTCTGACGGAGCCCTCCGTCTTAAAAAGAACCCTAGCAGAACCTTTTTTTTCCTTTCAAAAAAAATGGTTCTTTGAATGAAGGGTTCTTCGAAAGGAACCCTTAGTCTTACAAAGAACCCCTGAAGAAGCCTTTTTTCAGAAAAAAAGGTTATTTAAATGAAAATTGTTCCTCAAAGGAACCCTTGGTCTTACAAAGAAACCTCTCTTGAAAAAATGGTTCTTTGTATGAAAAGGGTTCCTCAAGGAATCCTTAGAATTACAAAGCACCCTCATAGAACCCGTTCTTACAAAAAAAAAACAGTTCTTTGGATGAAAAGGGTTCTTCTGAAGTAATCCTTAGTGTCACAAAGAACTCTAGCAAAACTCTTGTCAGAAAAGCATTCTTCTGAAGCAACTGGTTCTAAGTAGAGCCTCAGCCCTTCAGGAAGAACCTTTTTGGAACCGTTATTTCTAATGCTCAAATTCCACCAGATGCATGTTGGTTGCGTCTGTGCTGCAGAACAGCAGTGGAACCGATACGTTTCAATTCTAGTCAATGTGTGTGTTTCCACCGGCTGCGGCTGTGCTGCGTTCCGGCTCCGTCACAGCTGTGGCGCTCCGGAGCCCTCCACAACAGATACGAGTGTAAATACATTTACCGTTGGTGTGAGTCTTCTTCTGTTTTTTTGTTGACAAGAAGAGCAACATAGAAAGTCACCAGATTTATCCTTTAAAGCAACGTTCCAGCAGAAATTGAGTTTCCTGTCAGCTAGCTGCTGAAATTGCCCGTTCCGCCTGTTTATTGCTGTTCCTTGGCAGATCATTCTGTATGTTTTCCACCACTTAATGCCTTCTGAACGTACTGATTTGTATTTCTGATGCACTCAGTTGCACCAGAGGAAATGAGCAGTTTGTGATTCTAAGTTTTTCTGTATATTTTGAATTTTTGTTCCCACTAATTGACAGAGCCTCTAACTGGCTCTGCTTGTCTCTACAGTGTCGAGGTCGTGAGGGTTCACCGTGCAATGGTTCTCTGTCACTACTGAAACTGGAGAACACTTTGGACTGTATGTTGTAGCACTTAAAACCAGGAAGGGAACAAACAATGCAAACCTCCCGGCCCTGTCTGACAGGGCGCGAGGTGACAAGGTGTGACGCTGCCTTCACGTCACAAGGAGAAGACTGTAAATCTGAGCCTCTTACTTGAAAACAGCCTTCGCCTCACCTTCAGATAGAACCTTGTACCACGTGACCGACTCTGATGAGTCGGGCTCGTCATGAACAGGAACGTAGCAGAAGTCCAGTGTAGCCGTGATCGATTCATTTCAAATAAAAGCCTCACAGATGAAACGGTGTCAGAGTCATTTTGTGATCACAGAAACTTCAGCTGTTTTTTTCACGCTGAATGACGTCCGAACGTCCGCTCGTATTTACAGTGGTCCGTCGTCAAGGCGACTCGCTGGAGGAAATGACCCTGGTCCAGGTGTGTTTATGTGATCATGTTCCTAATGTGCACTGCTACACATGTCAACATTAGCTGGGTTTCCATCACCCTGAGAAATGCGCAAAATCTAAATAGCGCAATAGAAAACAGGCAATTGAAACTAATCTAATGACTTCAAACACCTTTCAATGGAAACACCTGCAAGCAGCATTTGTACTTTATCGAAATTGTCAAAATATCGTTTTAATTTTGCACAAAACTGTAATGGAAACCCAGCTACTGTCACCTGTCCACATACTGACATCACTCAGCCTTCACCCTCCATCAGGACCTGACTCCAGGTGAGTCCAGGACCTGACTCCAGGTGAGTCCAGGACCTGACTCCAGGTGAGTCCAGGACCTAGCTGTTCTTAGGACTGCACTCTTCTGGGCCGAGACCTAACATGTCCTGACCCGAGCTTCAGGAAAACACACCAACTCCATGTTTATATATGCACATTTTACTGCAATTGGCCATACTGCATAATGAGTACTTTTACTTTTGGTACTTAAAGTATATAAACAAAAGTTTTTGGTGTGTGATAATTTACATAGTATACGGAGATAAAGATAAAGTTTCCACTTCCTTTAATGTGCTGAATTTGTTTTGCAAGTTTCCTTTAATTAGCACATAATAACTGTGTTCCAGTGTAAGGACAGTCTATGCAAAACACATGTAAGATCATCATATTGATGACAGTGAACATGTCAGTTACAGATTATTTTGTGTTAAATGATTATTGTTAACAACAAAGACTAGATGTGATCATTTCATCACAGTATCTAATAAAACTGAATATCAATAAGTGATTATTTAAAACGATCTGTTAGTTTGACGAGGACGAAGACATTGAAATCATCACACTGTAACTCTTCAAGCTGTTAAGTTCAGGCAGAAAACACCAACCACTCTGAATGGTTTCTTTTCAAATTTATAGTGTCAGTGTCTGTTAAACGCTTCCATCTGATCGGTCGGTTCATCCGCTCTCCTCGCTCCAGCCAGTCACCATCCAGATCTACTTCTGCGTGGGAACAAGCTCATCGATATCTCGGCCGCCCTCCAGCCTCTTCTCCATGGCGACGAGCAGTTTGACCCCGTCCACCACCAGCTGGGTCAGGCTGACCTCGCTCAGGCCAAAGGTCGCCACATTGCTCACACAATACAGCGCCGGGGATTCTGGGAAATGAAGAGGCAAGTCTGAATTCGGAGCCGTTGTCTTCTCGTCGTTTATCCGGCCGCGCACTCAGTCCTTCACAAACACATGCATTGGTACTAAAACAATTTCAAACACGTTGACATAAACAGTCTCAGGCACAGACGAGGGCTAACTTGACCTCTTAATGTGGTTTTTGAATTTCACAATTTTAGCAGAGTTAACGCAGTGTTTGTGAAGTACAGAGCATACGACTGGACAAATGAGATTTTATACATACCATAAAACTTCAAATAAAAGCAGAGTCCCAGTTAAACGCCCAGTCCCTGTTACCAGCCCGATGTAGCTACACATTTAGACAAATAAGGGCCTGTCTCAATCAGAGGCCTGGTCTGGTTGACACACAGTTCATTTCTATAGAAGTTCTTTGGATGTATAAAATTGGACTGCTGACTACCCACTTTAGCTGCTTCCATCGCGCATACAAATATAAATTGTCAATATGGAGATGCTACACATCGTTAGCTCGGTTAATTTCATTTTACCGAAACCATGAGCACCAGAGAAGACCTGAAGTCATTCACATGCTTTTTCATAAAAATGAATCCAAGTTGTGAGGATTGTTTAACAGGATAAAATGGTTTGTGTCAGGTGCTGTAACTCTCACTGTCTGATGTGCTGTCTGTCGGACCAAGTCAAATGATTCATAATTGATATATAATTTAAAGCCTAATTTTTATACAAGTAATAGTCATATGGTTTAAATACACAGTGTCATTGCATTTCCTGATCTTTGCTGAGCAACAGTTTTGTGTGAAAATAATTAAAAGCCGGTCTCTGTTGAGTTCAGTGATTTAGGCAAATTTAGTCGACCAGTTGCAGTTTAACAGTAAATACACATATATATTTGGGATGTCACCTGATGCAAGTTATTAAATATTGAGTATCTGCCGAGCTGAGTCCTGATCTGATACTTTCATTTTGCTAGATATGACAGCTGCACAGTGCACACTTCAAGCACTGTGAAATCAGTCCAGTGTATCTGTATGACTGAATAGCTGCAGTGTGGAAGAAAGAAAAAAAAACTGCTGAATTACAGCTCACAACTCGCACCAACCCAAACATCCTGGTGCAGACTATTTACTGGAGTTTACAGCCTGTCGCTCATCAGGCATCTGAAGAGAATCACAAGCACGACCGTTCTCGGCTTTCAGTGTCCGATAGTCCACCACCAACATTTTCATCCCGTCTCATCAGTGAAACTGAAACACAGACTGATTCCTAGATTTTAATATCAAGATCTATTTTTAGCTCGTCATCATCTGGTTTTCGTCATGAAAAATGATTGTTAAAGGGCCAGTGTGTAATATTTGGCATGGTTTATGTCAAATCTGAATCTGAATATTCTACCCATTAATATGTTTATATAAGTGTATAATTGCGATAAAATAAAATTCCTTTGGTTTTTGTAGCCTTATAATTATGCTTTTATATATATATATATATATATATATCTATATATANTATATGTATAGCAAGGGCCTTGCTTTAGAGAGGTCGCCATCTTGCACCGCCATGTATGTACGGCAGCCCGAGCGGACAATCCAGCCAGCTGGAGAACACGTTTCGCGATAAATAAACCAATGAAGAAGACAGTGAGAGGAAGGAAGAAGGAGGAGGAAACAGCAGAGAGTGTTAGTAGTTCGTTGATAGAGAGTAGTGAAAGTTTTTTTTTACTTATAAAGTTTGCGAATGGACCACACTTACCACGCAACAGGAGAAAATGAACCCGAACCGTCATCTGCGAGGAAAAGAAGACGCAAAGAGGGGCAAAGAAAACGGGACAAGCGGCGGCAGAGAATAAACATCGGTGATGTTTTTCAGCGATGGAGGGGGTTCATGAAGGACAAAGGGCTTCAATCCGACGCATGTTTTCTGCTGGACAGGTAAACTACTAAAATAAAAGCTACTATTTGTCAGCACTTAGTATAATAGCGTTACATGTCGGACTCGACAAGTAGGGAGTGAGGAGGAGAGTTTGTAACGTTACATCATCTCCAGGTAGAGCAATTACTGTAAAACACTTGAGAAAATTTTAGTCTTATGTCAATAACAGACAACAGGAGAGCAGTAACGTTACTCCTGTGTACCCTGCTGATTGGATTCACTACAGCTAAAACCACCGTTTATTACTGAACAGTACAGGTTACTGTTGGCCGTAACTACGCCAAAACAACCAACAAACAAGAATTTAGCTGTAACTCCAACTGTGCACTGTTGCTCTCTCCTCCAGCTCGCTCATACACACACCAGCACGCGCACTCACACAGCTCTCGTCCCCGTCACACTCGCACCCCGCCCCCCTACCTATACTCATTCAATCCCAAACATGCCATTAACTCACAGAACACTGACATTATAACAGAACGTTTACTGCAGGGTCGCTACAACATCGTAACATGGTTTAGATTTCTAAATAAATATTGACCTCGTCGCTAGATAGACCTACTCCTGAAAAACTTGTCTGCGCAAGGCTTTTTGTCCCTACGAGGCCACCGTCATTTACCCGACAGGAGGGGTGAGCGAGTGAGCCCTGCAATCTAGAATTTGACCACTGATGTCACTGTTTTCAACCCATTTTACACACTGGCCCTTTAACAGTTTACATTACAGCAGCAGTCCACATCCGGTGAGTCAGACTTCTGTCAGCCTGGTAGCTGATGGGTTCCAAGACTGATGCAGAGTCACCTCTTGTTTTCCCTGCAGTCAGATTAATAAGCCTGAAAGTACATTTTATAAACCTTATATTTCCGTCTGATGTGTATCTATATGTCAGGCGAGGTGTGAAACCCAGGATTGATATCTACACAGTAACTCACCAACCAGAGAACTGAACACAGCGTCAAACTCTCAGATCAGTTCCTGTGGTGAGACCCGAGTCAGCTGTGCTCTCAGTACCTGTAGCGTCCATGCAGACCCTCAGTCTCTTCAGGACGTCCTGCAGCCGTTTGTGTCTGGGGAGGTGCTGCAGTCTGAGGTGGACTCTGATCCTCAGACCTGTCCCCACGTCGGCTGGAGAGCTGCTCACCCACCCCAGCTGCTGCTTCCAGGTGAACGGGTGTCTGAGCCGTCTGTAGAACTCCTCCAGCTGGAAACACACAGACAGGAGCCGACGGTGAACTTTTTCCACTGCAGGAACTTTGTCAAGAACTCAGGAAGTCCTTTTCCCTCAGGAGGCCGGAAAGACATCCTGCACCACGAGCACTATGACGAGTATCAGATAGAACTGGAGGCAGTTTGTAGTATTTTCACTTTGCTGATTGGTCTCTTCGTCTACTTCCATCATCATCCAAACTGGACATCACTGTTTGGAAGGTTAAAAATCTGTGACAGCGATACATCGAATTTTTTAACAATCCTGATGCAGATCCCTTAAATACAAGCTGAATTATTTTACAGATAAAATCGACTCATCGGCGCTCTCTGGTGGATGAACTTGGTCCTGAGGTTTGGTGTTATCGCTGATACAGATCCGTCTGCAGTAAGATAATATCAGCCAATATATCAGAGTGGTTCAGTGATTGTTCTGCCTCTACAGGGAACTATCAGCACTGAGGTCCACCTCATGATGTGACCTCAAACTGTCACATTTACTGTGGTAATAACAAGTTCTATAAAAATATGTTTCTTGTAAAGGAACAGTGCGTCAGATTAAGGACGTCCAGTGGCGTCCAGCAGTGATGATTCCAGATTACAACCAGCTGAAACTTCTCCTGGTTAGAATTCCTTCAAAGTTCATTGTTCAGGAGCTGAATTATCCTCAGAGGTCTCTTCCTCTCAGAAACAAACAGAGCAGCTGATTTAAACCGGTAAAACACTGAATAAAGCAGTTTCATGTTGCAAGTCTTACAAGCTACAAGTTACGAGCTTGTTTGAGATGAGCCACAAGCTGTGTGCTCGCCTTTTTTGTCCAATAACTCAGGGCGGGGCTCAGCCTCCGTGAGGGTGGCATGAGGGCCCCACGTCCTCTAGTGGGACCTGTGCTCACAGCCCAGCACCGTGCAGCTCCATCATTCACCAGAGAACACCAGAACTGGCAGGTCCACCATCTGCGCCCCGTTGTCTTCACAGATGAGAGCAGGTTCACACTGAGCACATGTGACAGGTGTGAAAGAGTCTGGAGACGCCGAGGTGAACGTTATGCTGCCTTCTCGGGCCCTGGGTTCCTCCTGGTGCAGAGGGCCCTGGGTTCCTCCTGGTGCAGGAGTGGAGTGTGTAGACAGTTCCTGGATGATGAAGGCAGTGATGTCATTGATTGGCCCTCTCATTCCTCTGACCTAAATCCAGCTGAGCACCTATGGGACGTTATGTATCGATGCATCCACCACAGACTGTCCAGGAGCTCACTGATGCCCTGATCCAGGTCTGGGAGGAGATCCATCCTCCGACTCATCAGGAGACCAGCTGTTGTCAGGAGGTCATACAGGCAGGCGGGGGCCGAACACACTACTGAGTCACATGATGAGTTGGATCAGCTGTGATTTCATTATTTTACTTGATTTTCGGTGTGATTTTGAGTCCAGCCCTCAGTCACATGATGAGTTGGATCAGCTGTGACCGTTGTCACGTCATTTTGATCCCAACACATTAATCAATGTGCATCAGTAAAGATTCTACACTTGAATTATTTGTTCATCCAGATGTGATGTGTGATTTTGCTGTCGTTGTTAAACCAAACTAAACTTTGTAGAAGTTCTTTTCTTACAGTGCCATCTTGTTGAGAGGCTAGGCACCTATGGTGAGGTCCCTGCACTTAATGCATATGAGTAAGAGCACCAGGACACGAGTGTAGATTGCAGCATTTTGTCGTGAGTATTGCCGTGTTGCACCAGAGGTGAGTAGGTGGTTGCTCCTCTGGACTCTCCTCAGTGTCGTCTGCCTCTCCACAAGTGGCCTCTGCTCACTCTCCCTGGCTTTGTTCACTTTAGCCTCATGTTGGACTGAATACTTTACCTAGATTAGATTTTGCATCAAGACTTTTCTAAACAAACTGTAATAAAACCAATGTTTCCATCCCCCCTCTTTGGTATCAGTGTTGATTTGACTATGAATGTTGTCTTCTCTCCCAGCAGCTCCAGGCCCCATCTATTTGCTTATCTTGAAAAAGTATTTCCTGGGCTCTAGTTCCCCTCACGTGGCGTTGTCGGTACTCTCCCCTCTTTTTCCACTAATTGCCGTCACCACGCTAAGTTTGGCTCATTATTTCCCCTTAAAACATAGACTGTGTAAAATAATGGAAGTAGCAGGGTTTATGGACTCCTGATGTGAAGTCTCAAGTTCAGCATTTCAGCCGACGCCATCTTGGTTTTTCTTTTTAGCCATAAGTGACCGTATATGGATGAGAGGGTGGAGCTGTGGAGGTGCGAGGGGTGGATTTGACACACAGGTTGTGGCGAAGCTTTGCAGACAGCCTGTCACTCAAGTGGCCCCGCCCTCAAATACACTTAACTTTAAGCCTTAATGAATGTGAACAGGTGAGTTACATAAAGATTCAGGTCCCGTACAGTCGTCACGAATGTTGAGAAACAAAGACAGTTTTTGTACCAGGCTGTAAAAGTGTTCACGTCTACATGTTAACATGGAGGTCTGTGGGGACTGACTCGCTCTTGGAGCCAGCCTCAAGTGGACATTAGAGGAACTGCAGGTTTTGGCACTTGAGTGTTGGCTTCATGTTTCAGCCCCAGACATTGCTGCTGCTGCTAGGTTTAAGTATCTGCAGGATGGGAGCAGATTTAACTTAAAACTTATGTGTAACAAGCTTTGTAACTTATAACCAACTTATAACAAGCTTTTATTGGAGGTAGAGAGTTAAGAGTTAGAGCTCATGGTGAAAAGTGTAGAGAACAACAGATTCATCAAACCTGCAAACATTTGTGGCTCAAACATATAAGTTAACATGTAATTCTAATAATAAAAAGAAGTAAAGAGACCCGTGACTGACCTTCTGCAGATTGATGCAGATGCATTTAAAGACCTCAGTGATATTGGCATCATCTCGTGTAGACACAAGTCTGAGGTGGTCCTCCATGTTGACCCAGACCACCAAGCTGCCATCTTCACTCACCCTGCAACAAGGAATCATGTTTGATACAATCAACAGATTCCAGAAATGTTTTGTCTCCTCTCCAGCTGACTGCTTTCCTTCAGACTTGTCTAGTATTAGAGTGACATCTGGCATCTTGCAGGATTTGAATCTCTGGTCTCTCAGGTTCCAGTGACTGCTAAAGCTAATGGGACAAAAAGACTCATGGGAAAAAACCAGACTGACCAGACCGCCCTGGCGTCAGGCCAGTCCCGGGCCAAGCCAATACGGAGCTGGAAGGAGGAAGGAGTGTTCAGGTTCAGCTCCCTCTGCTGCTCCTGGTTCAGCTCCTCCAGTAAGAGGAGTCGACCCGGCAGCTGCTCCTCCTCCAGCCGCTGCAGAGCTGAGAGCAAACACGACACACTGGTCAGCTGCTTTACTCAGCCCAGTCGCCACAAGAAAATGTTGGCATTGTACGTTTCTGCGAGCAGTGGATACGTTACATACGCACGTTTCACACGTATCATAACAACATTTATAAAGTGATTGAGTACATGAGCTGACTTTGTCATCTGGAGGTGGAGGGGATGATGGACGGCTGGACACATCGGCCAGACGTCCAGCTGCAGACGACTGCAGGCCACTGTTCAAACCAGCAAACACCGGTTGTTTTTGGCGACCCTTCAGTGTTTTCCTGTTTTGTGGCGCCGAGCCTGGATGTTTTTCACGACACATCATAGTGTTTCAAAGCAGCGTTCAAGCAACTGAACATGGGTGTTTCTCACTGACCCTTCCCTGCTTTTTCAAAGGTGTGGGTGTTTTCACTCACACATCACAGTTTCCCAGCAGCAAAGTGGCTCTTGGGTGTTTTTCACTGACACATGGCAGCATTTTCCATCAGCATATGAGCCTGAGATCATGGGTGGTTTTCACCAACCTATCCACGTTTTTTCAGTGGCATTTGTGCCACCAAACGCAGGTGTTTCACTAACACATGGCAGTGTTTTCAAGCACTGAGTCTGCAAGCGTTTTTCACCAACCCATCCCTGCTTTTCCAGCAGAGTTTTTGTCACCTCATGTGGTTGTTTTAAGCCCAAACTTTGTGTTTTCCTAACGGTAAACAAGTGCTTTTTATGCCTAAAACCAGCCACACATTTACCACAGTATTATTCAGAAACCTAAAGTTCCACCTTTCTTCTACAAAAGACTTTATGAATGTAAAGTATCCGTGGTTTGCAGAAACATACAGTGTTAACATTTTTTGTGGCGATTGAGTTGAGTTTACTACAACCTGGTTACTTTGAGGCCATGCTACCATCAACCCCGCCTGGTCGGCTTCATAATTGCACAGTGGCACCTGTCACATGCTGTCAGGGAACTCAGAATGCTCTTTGTGGGGATAAATTGTTCTGTTGCAAATGTCCTGCCTTCGTCTGCACCCATGGTGCTACATTCTCATGTATAATGATAAGAAATCAGAGCCTGAGCCGGCCTGAACCTGCTGGTTTGATTGTTTTCAGGTTATTGACTCTGAAACACAGACATGCAGTACCTCTGCTGGCCAGTGTGAGGAGCTGTCTGCGCTCTCCTCGGCTGCAGTGTGTCGGGAAGCAGAAGTCTTCAACGCCTCGAACAACACTCACCTCACAGCATGCAGCGTATGACCTGTCCAAGTCGTCACCTCCCTGCACACACACACACACACGTGTCTGTTCAAACACTACAGTAACATTGGTGACATGTGAAGCTAACATGTTGCAAACATTGAACCCCTCTGCTGTTTTCTTCGACTTCTGTGTGAGCTCAAACGTTGGTTAACAACAGGGTGTTGACCAGAAAACGTTAGACTTCCTCTTGACAGGACTAAAAGCTAAATTAGTGTCTCCCAAAGTCCAACCCCTCGTCCTCGCTGTGGGAGATGGAAACAGGCAAAGAACCGGGCTGATATATGGTGGGCAGGCTGATACGGCTGCCATGAAGGCCTGGTATGGAATAACCGGGACATGCGCTGGCTAACAGGGCTCTGGTGAAGCTGCGTGGGCCAATCCCCCGCTCATAATGATTACAGAAACAACCACAATGAATCCACAATGTCAGGGCTTGATGTCGAAGAGGGCGGAGAGGAACTGTGGATGAGTCAAGAAAGTCTATTGTCTTTAAGTCTTAACGTACAGAGAAGATGAATAATTAAAGTGCAGGCTGACGTCTTGGCTTCACTTGAATCAGAGCGAGGAAGACGTGAACACATTTTACTATAAGGATGGTTATAGTCTGTGAAAGGGCCGCTCTGTGTCTACTGACATGTTCACGTGTTTTTATGTCACAGCCGTGCTGAAATATAAAGACGCCTATAATCTGGGTTTAACCTGTTATCTGTCGGCCTTGATTTTTATGTTTGTCACTGGCAGACTGAGCTTTGAATTCACAGAGATCAGTATGTTTGGAAAGCTAACTGAAGTTACACACAACCTGGTGAAATGTCACTGTGTTCTGTGTTGACTCTGTGCATTCTGTGTGAAACCGCAGCGAGAGGTTCCTCAGGTTTCTTATTAACAATGATTAGTAGGCGGTGATGTGGTCGGACCAGCTACCTTCAAGTTGTCGTAGTTGAAGTCGTCCTCTGGCGTCTGGCTGGTGAACTTGTGTCCGTGATGTGCCTCGATGACTCGGTCGAAGAAATCACAGAACAGGACGTAGGACTGAGCGTCGCCCGCGACACAGCCCACAGTTACAGGAGTGGACCAGTCACCTTCAGACACAAACATCACATGGACACGTTTACACACTCACACTGACAATCCTCCCAAATCTAAGGAGAATAAACTGACTTTGTGTTTCTTGAACTGTTCCCCATTCACTTAAAGGTATACTCTGCAGGATTTTCCCATGTAAGGCGTGTATGTTTATGCCGCCACACTGGCGACAGCTGCGGCCAGAGGCATTATGTTGTCAGGTTGTCCGTCCTCAAGAATGAATTGATTAGATTGTGGCGGTCAAAGGTCAAAGGTTACTGTGACTTAAAAGAATATGTTTTTGGCCATAATTCAGGAATTACTACGCTTTTTATGACCAAACTTGACACAAATGTCTAACAGGATAAAACAATGAAGGTCAGAAGGTCAAAGAAAAACCATAAATGTAACGAGGCAAAACGTCAAATGAGAGTGAATCTGGGGCTGGCTCCATTTTCTCTTTCTTCTCTCTGGTGAGCGTGTTTACGAACAGTAACTGAAAGTCCTGCACAGTACACCTGTAAATACAGTCCGTTTTCTTTCAGACCACCATCTAGTGGCCATTAAAGGAACTGCGATTAGACACATAACTGCTGAAAGAAGATATTTTCCTTACATTCATCATCGACTACAATCTTGCATTTCTGGAGTAACTGGAGCAAAAAAATATCCAACTGTAAACCAGATGGAGGCTTTACTGCCAAACCTTAAAACAGCTGAATAAAAATTCAACAACACAGCAGTAACGTCTTTGAACACAGCACTAAAATAGGACTATATTTGGAGATATGAAATGAGAGGAAAGATCTTCATTAACACTGCTGAATATCTGAAGTTTCTGTAGTTGAATGTGCCTGATTCATTCTATCAGTTCTTTCTGATTTTAATCTCACTGTAACTCTCTGACAGCCAGCGCAACCCTGACATCACCTGGTTCCTCAAGGCCCGGGCGGATGACATCATCAAAGATGACTCCACTGGGGGTGCAGCGGTGGAACTGTCGGCGATACATGGCACGTGTGAGGATCTTTCCCATCCAGGTAGAGTTCCTGCAGAGGTCGGGAAACTCCTCATCTGGAGAACCTCTCTTCAGGTGGAAATGGGACATGGGGTCAGGGGGGACCAAATTCTGAACGCACAGGAAGTTGTCACAGAGAAGACAGGAGGAGCTTTTAGTCCACAAGATGCCAGCAACTGGTGCTTCTCAAGGTCGTTGAAGGATCCTTGAACAGGTGAATTTCAAGGAGGCTACGTCATCGAATACACTGAAGGACTGTCTTAATGTTAGCAGCCACTGAGTTCTACCCAGAACCGAGTCCTTCCCTCAGAGAATTTTCAAGGATGCATGTGTGTCTCCTCAGTGGGCATGAAGTACCCACAATGCTTTGTGCACAGTCAGTGACGCACAACTGGGCACTGTTCCAATGTGTGTTCACTGACTGTGAGGAAGGAGCCTAGTCTGTATAGGAAGCCACTTGGAAGGACCCGTCCTACCAAGGAAGCTTCCTTGACTTTGAGAAGCACCAGATGTTTTCCTGATGTATGTTCTGGCGTGTTTCTTTCCATTTACAATGAGTTGGATCAAGATCAACTCAGCTGCTCGGAGTCGAGCCTCACAAGTTCACTTGGCTCTGAAAAATCAGGAGATACTTTGAGCTGATCCAGAAAATTTACTGCAACTAACAGCGAAGTTGTTTCTGTCTCTCAGAGAGAGTGTCAATATTAACTCTGTCGTATTAATAACACTCAGCTTGTCTTCAGTGTCAGCTACCTACAGCAACATTTCTAACTGGCACTGTTTCAGGGTTTTTATTTGTCACATACTCAACATTGTGCAGTGAGATGCTTTGTTGCCTCCAGAACTGTACTTGAAATATATAAAAATATACTATTAAGATTTAACCTCTTGCGACTGTAACCTCTATGAAAGTACAGCTTTGGGTTTACTGACTATTGTTTGTTTGTTTGTGTTCATACTAAATAGTTTTCATTTTAATGTCTAATTTTATGAAGAGAACTGTTTCAAGATGGCTGTAGTTGCTTAAAATGGCCGCTAGAGGGCGCTGTATGTACGTGCTATGTAGTAAATCCAGTAGACGTGAGCATTGCATGCTGGGAGCAAGACACTCCAGCCTAGCCTGGATGCTAACAGGCCACGATATAGCTACGAGTGAAGTCAGTGACATTTTATGGAAGAAACACTGCTTTATTTTCATGTTTATGAGTCTGTACATGTTCGAAGTTGCTGTGAGAGAGTTCCAGCCGGCTGCGACCGGAGGATTTGCTTTATTTTGTTTATACGAACAAGGACTCCGGTGACTGTAATAGTTAGCATGCTAAGTTGCTAACGGACATGCTAACGGACATGTAATGTTTAATTTCGGTTATGATTAAGCTGTATTGAACCTTTCTTACCATCAAAAACCAATCGGAGTCAACTGTAAATGTTACAGAGATGTTGTAATGAGTGAATATGCTCAGTTTGTGTTTTAGAAATGCATTTATTTTCACGTGAGGAACGGTCATTTTTACTGCGTCATTCTGGGCGCCATGTTCAATGTTGGAGGGTTTAAAATGTGCTATAAGTGGGCTAATAGTCATGATTTGTTCACGTGTGGGTTTTTTCTTCTGATTTTCATGATATAAATTAAAAGTTCGTGTTGATTAAAAACGCACAAGTTTGAATGTGAATGAGAAAAACATTGATTAGAGATAAAAGATCATTTGTGGAACATGATCGATTGATATTGTTTAAAAAAAAACACAATGATGTCTGAGGTTTTAATGTCTCAAGATATATTTCATCATTGCTTTTGTGGTCAGTATTATAAGTTACACTTGAGTTAATAAGAAAAAGAAATACTGTACAGTAATTGATAATTAATTTTATTTTCTGTTTATGGCAGATTGGTTTTTTTGAGTTGCTGGATCTGCATTTTTGTGGGACAGCGTCGATTCCAACCAGGGTTCCTGTCTGAGGCGAGGCAGGGTAGAGAGGAGCTGAAATTCTCCATCTTCATCATCTTCCTGAAGATTCACGCCTGGAGCAGATAAGATCTAGGCTGCGCGCATCAAGCACACAAACATACACATTCTACCCGGGTAGCACACATACTGAATAAACTTGGACGTACATGGATACAAACTGAACACTTTGGACTGGACTTTCACGAACATTGACATTAGACAGCAATAAGCTGTGAAGGGACACTTTACTTTTATTTTTTATTTTTATATTGGGAAATTGAATCTGAATTGTGATACCACTATTTGTTGATTGTGAGAATAAATATTCCTGTGTTGACCTTTACCACTAACTTATCCCTCGCTCCTTGAGTTGAACCCGAGAGTACAGTAGTCAATATAGTGTTGTTCTTACTGGGTTACACGACCCTACATCCTCCCATGAAGACATTACATTTTGGGTTTGCTGCACCTTTTACTTCATTCTGCTTAATTCAGACCTGTTGTCTTGTTCATGGACACTTTTTTGTGCCATCTGTTGGTAGCAAAAACTATTCAATGTAAAAACAAGATGGCAGCCATCTCTGCTCAGTGAGTCTGCAGCTGATCCAACACAAAGTGGACAAGTCCAGAAAAATGATCACCTCCAAAATTGGCCGGTATCTCGTCTCCACAGGAGAGGCAACCAGAGCTGCAACAGAAGCAAAATGTTAAACAGTCACAGATCAATATTGTTTCTGTTTTAAAGGTTCTTTTATTTAGAATCTAGAAATGTTTCCGTCTCTCTCACACTGACTGTCAAAAAAAGACAAAAAGCTAAAAACTGTGAAACTGTGATGGACGTAAAGATAAAAGAAAACACTAAGGAAAATCGGGATGCTCATGTAACATGACAAGATGTACAAAAAAAGCCTCTTTAAGCCGTACCCGAAAGAAAACAGGAAGTCAGCCATTTTTAATTTACTCCTTATTTTCATGCATTTTTGCCCATTTCCAGGGGTCGTACTTCAACAAAGTCCTCCTACAGATTTAATCTGATCAGCTTCAAATTTTGTCTGGACCATCTAAAGACCTTCGACATTAAACACTAGTAAAAGCTTGAATTTTTTGTGAATCGTGTGACTGTGGTGAGGCGTCAAATTTCATGTTTTGCCACGAAACAAGAAATAGTTTGTGCCTCCCCCGTAGGCAGTCAAAGGGGCTGTCCACACCAACGCAGGTATTTATAAAACCGTGACTCTTTGCTCATGGTTTGGCCTTTCATTCACACGTAACCGCAGTTTTGGGCCCCTGTAACCGGAGTTATTTGTAACCGGAGTCCAGGGTGAACTTTTTGGAAAAGTCCGGCGTCAGCAGTCATGTGTGGACAGGATAACCGCAGTTATTTTGTCTCGTCTCCATTGTATGACATCACAGTGTGCGACGTAAACAAAAAACAGCTGTGTTATTACCTGATCCAGTGTGTGCGAGAGACGATTTGAGGATGGACCTAAACAAAATACTGCTGCTATTTAGCAGCATATCAGCACTTTGTGGCTGTATCATACAACTAACGCTACTCAACCACATCCAGCAACAGAGGCGCAAGAGTGTGCTATTACAGAGACTGCTCCTGCTGCATAATAGTAAGCTTGTTGTTGTTTTTCCAGTAATGACGTTTTGATAGGCTGCAATGGCCTTACAGTTAGGAGTTATATCACCACCTACTGCTTTGGCATGTGTATTACATTGCGTGATAGTGGAATTTGCGGTGTCATGTGGACGGAGGTATTTTTATTACACCGCTTGTATGGACGCAGATTTTTTTTGAAAACTGGAGGCCAAAAAAGTTTGGTTTTAAAAATACCTGTGCTCATGTGGACTAGGCCAAAGCCGACCTAAACTTCACAAGTTTGATGACAGTCCCACCCTGAACACAACTACGTGCCAATAATCAATCATCGTTATAGCACCACCTACTGGCAACAGGAAATATATGTTTATACTTTGATGTACTCCTCTTAGCAGATTGACCAGATCCACCTAAAATGATTTGCTTTTAAAAGCCCCAAGACCTTGATGATGCTCTCTGGAGAAAATTGTGAGCTTTTGTTGAACGGTGTTGCCATGGCGTGGCGCCCATTTTGCAAGTTTTGCAATGAACCAGGAAGTTGTTGTAACTTAAGCATATATTGTCTGGTCTGCTTAACTTGGACCTGCTGTCCTCATTCGTGGACGCTTTTTGTGCCATCTGTCGACCTTAAAAACGAATCAGTGTAAAAACAAAATGGCAGCCATCTCTGCTCAGTCAGTCTGCAGCCGATCCCCACACCAATGTGGACAAAGTCCAAAACCTGATCAGATTTTCTCATTGAGACTTGTTCATTAAGTTTAATAATGTTTGTAGTTTGATACGGCAAAAAATGTGACCAATCTTAGCAACAGTTACAAGTTAAGACGCTGTTAATTAGGAAGTTCTCATTTGAGGATATTGGGACTATATTATCGTCTCGTCGAGGACATTGAGCTTTCTTGTGAAAAACTCTGTCGCTATGTCAGCGCGTTATTTGCCACAAAACAAACAGGAAGTTGTGGTAACTACAGTGGACCTTGTCCAATCTGCCCCAAATTCCACGTCTCATCAGTGTCCAGGCCTGAAGTCATCAGCATGCAAATGAGGTGTCACAGTGACTGTGCCACCCACTGGTAACAGGAAGGAAGCTACGTCCGACAATGATCATTGATTTACATAGAATTTACAAGGTGTGATCGACAACTGATTCACAGCAACATGATGTATAATTAGTGTGTCTCCAGTGCCACAGAGTGGACACAGGAAGTGCTACAAAATGTGAAATAGTTCATTCCTGGCCCCACACTTCATAAAGGATGTACCATCTCGCTGCTGCATGCCGTGTCTGACTGTCACAGATATGAACAGCAGCATCATCTGGCGTCCTGCCGGTATCCCGACGTGGGCAAACGTGCGAGGGCCTGTTCAGCGCTGCTTGCAGCTTTAATTCATAACTGTCATTTGTTTGATTTGAGCTAAAACTCCACATCAGGTTAAAAATCAAGACTAAACATTCAGTATGTAAAGAGTTTGATGATCATCTCATATAAAGTCTGAAAAAAAAAAACACATTAAGGACTAAAAACCAGCAGATACAAGAAACAGTGATATTGTTGGTGTGATCACAGAAGCTTCAGTCATGCTCACGTCATCACTATCTGTTTCAAACAAACCTCCAGTCAGTGCGATCTAACTAACTGTAACAGTGGGTTAGTTTACTGAGTGAAAAACACAGAGCATGCAGTAAAAAACACTCACGTTTGACCTTCCACATGTCGTCAGCACAACAATAGCTCTAAGAATAGTTGTGTTGGTCCTGAGCAGCTCGTCCTGCAGCCTGCAGGGGTCCGGTTACAGTCCAAACAATGTCAGCCTTTTTATAACTGCGCACAGGACGGCTGCGTTTGACCGTCCATCAGTAGAGACACTGGGACATGCTTTCAGCCCACAGCTGTTCCTCTAATGCTGCACAGATTTAGTTTAGTTTATTTCTGTGTGTAACCTGTGGTTTGTAATCAACCTGCAGAGTTCAGTCAGGGTTGACCTGCTCTATCTCCTGGGACGGACCTTTAATTCATACTGTCTGTTCATAGTCCTGTCTCATATCTGCAGGGGGAACAACAGCAGCAGCAGAGGAGGCGGGATGCTGACAGTTAGTGATGTGCTGCTGCAGAGATTGATGTGGTGCAGTCATATGTGAGAGGACCCCTCTGTATGTTTGGTCTCTGATGCTTAAAGTTTGTAGAAAGTCTTCTTTACAAATAGATGTTATTTAGTATGAAGGATTTGTTTTGTACATGGAGGACAAAACGCTGTACGATGGTTCAACCTTTGTATTTGATCAATAATGTTCTGAGGCACGAGCTTCGCTTATTTATGGGTCCGGGCTACGTGGCAGATTTTAAAAACTGACTGATCATTCCACCGTATTCACCTCAAAGAGCTGACAGGTGATCTTAATGACTTGGTTAAGAGTGCTAGAGCTACTTACTTTAACAACCTCAGTACATCGAGCAAACACAATCCCAAAGTGTTATTTATGTGTGTGATATAGTGAGCACTATGAAGACCTCCTCGAGCTCCCTACACATCCTCCCAACCTCTATGCTCAAGGAAGTAATTAGCTCTGTAGGCCCTAGTATAGTCACCATCATCAACAGATCCCTTGTCTCTGGCTCTGTCCCTTCCTACTTCAAGCAGGCTCTCCTTAAAAAGCCTAATTTGGACCCCTCTGTTCCAAAAATTACAGACCCATCTCCAAGCTGCCTTTTGTCTCGCAGACAAATTTCAATCGGGCTTCCGTAAAAAAACACTCCACTGAAACCACCCTCCTTAGAGTCTCAAATGACCTCATGATGTCAGCTGATAATGGTGAATGTTCTGTCCTAGTCCTATTAGACCTCAGGGCAGCGTTTGATACGGTCGATCATGGCATCCTGCTGGACAGACTCAGGGAGTGGGTTGGCATATCAGGAAGTGCATGAAATTGGTGCGTCTCCTACCTTAGGGAGAGAAGCTTCTCTGTGGCTGTGGGCCCTTTTAAGTCTGACCCCTCTGCCCTTTCGTGTGGCGTGCCTCAAGGTTCTCGCGCCCCTTGTCTTCGCCCTATATATGCTCTCTCTGGCCTCCCTCATCAGTAACTTCACAGCAATTTCTTACAACTGCTACGCAGATGACATCCAGCTGTACTGTTCTTTCAAGCACGATGAGTTGGAGAAACTAACAGTCCTACAGGAGTGTCTCTCTACCATTGAATTCTGGATGGGCTGTAATTTTCTCCAGCTAAATGCTGCTAGGTCAGAGGTCCTAATCATAGCCACCGACAATATTGCCTCTCATGTGTCCATGCACTTGGGGTCCTTTAAAGAAAATGTTCGCACCCACCTGAGAAATCTGGGTGTCTATTTGACCATCCTCTGCATCTCAACAAGCATGTCAAATCCCTCACCCGCACCTGTTTCTTTCACCTCAGAAATATTGCAAAACTCCAGTCCATCATATCCCACTCCGAATTAGAAATGTCTGTACACGGCCCTGTGCAGATGTGTCTGCACTGACGGAGTCATGTGATGAAGAGTGTGGGTGTCAACACCAAGCTGAATCATCCTGTCTCACATGATCAGAGGCAGATCTGGGCGGCAGTTGTGTGTTAAAGGAGGTAAGTGAGGTTTGACTGTAATGTCTCTTCCTTTAATGTGAACTGTGAAGTTAATGTTAACTAACCTGCTCTTTGTCCTCTCGTTAGTAATAATTGTGCTTGTAATATTTTCTGTGTGATGATGATGAAGTCAGAGGAGCTGGGTGAAAGAATGCAGGATGGAAAACCAGTGTGCGACTGGCGTGGCTGTGGATCCAGAAACATCACAGCGAGGTAAGATGGTGGTTTACTTCCCTTTTAACTGTCACTGATTTGTGTTTGTGCGCTCCGACTTCAAAACACTGAGTGAAACAAGTGACTCGTTCAGCTCCGTCTGACGCAGAATGGAAACAATGCCCGACTAACCTGTTTGGGCGGGAGGGTGGAAACCTGTCTGATGCATACCTGCGTCACGCCTCATGTCTACACTTAGGGTTGTCTAACACGCCAAACATACGCTGAGATTTCAATCAGCACAGCTGTCATCGTGGCTCGTTCAGCTCCATCTGAAGCAGACTGGAAACAATGGTTCAGGCTTTAAGTGTAAACTGTGACACACCTGACATGCCCCAACCTGCCAGATTAAATATCTACCTTACAGCTTGTCTACACAGGAGAAGTTTACACCCCTCTGATGAGACAGATATGCTTCCATTTTAATCAGTATATTTGTCATGACTTGCTTTTCAGATTAATTTCTGTAGCCTCGACAGTCTGAGAGAAAAGAAATACTTTAAGATTATTTTGGGCCTTTTTGTCTTTCATTGACAGGAAATGTGTGCACACACAGAAAGAGGGAAGATATTAAGTGGGGCGCAGTATTCCTTGGCCACTGTCACACCTGAAATAAACTTTTTGTGACCATCTGAGTCAAGTCAAACTTTATTTGTAGAGAACATTTAAAAACAACCACAGCTGAGCAAAGTGCTGAACAGCAGCAAAGTTCTCAAACAGATAAATACGCCATGGAGAGGAGATGGGTCATCAGCAGCGACTTAAGGTTTCTACAGTCTGAGAGGTTTTTATTTCAGTAGAGAAGCTGTTCCAGAGTTTTGGGGCGGCCACCACACAGGCTCGGTCACCACTGTTTTTGTGTCTCGCTCTGGGAACACCCAGAAGCAAATGATTGGTGGACTTCAGTGCTCTAACTGGAGCATGAAGCTACAAACGTTCTGCTAGATAAGTCGGCACCAGACCATTTAACACCTTAGAAATAATAAAAATGAAATCTTAAAATCAATTCTAAAATGGACAGGAAGTTGGTGGAGGGAGGCCAGTACTGGTGTTATGATCATGGTTTCTTTTTTAAATCAGAAGACGAATGGCTGCATTTTGTTCCAACTGCAGATGACAAAGAGACGACTGTTCTGCACCCACATACAAGGAATTACAGTAGTCGAGCTGAAAAGGAAATAAAAACATGAATAACGAGAGAGAGCCTTTGGGACTTTAATTAGATAATGACTCCTGAAACAGCTGATCACTTTAGTTTGTGTGGTTCTGAAACGTTAACAATACAATGTAGATATCAGTGACAGTTCACATATTACATTTAATAGCATTCAATAGCAGATCTCCAGCTTAAAGCTACAACACACAAGCTAACAAACTAACATTGAACTGAAGTCACAGTGGGATATTATAACAGAGGAATGCACTGGAAGCTTAAATAACCATCCAAAAACACTGTTTGCATCACTGGTGACAACAGAAGTTACTGACTGTAAGAAACTACCTGACTTACAGTGGCATGCAGAAGTTTGGGCACCCCTGGTCAAAAGTTCGTTTACTGTGAGTAGTTAAGTGAGTAGAAGATGAACTGATCTCCAAAAGGCATGAAGTTAAAGATGAAACATGCTTTTTAACATAAACTGATGTATTATTTTTGTTTTGTACGATTTTAGAGTGAAAAGAAGGAAAGGAGCACCGTGCAAAGACTTGTGCACCCCGAGACATTTGCGCTTTCAGACAACTTTTCCCAGGGTCTCAGACGTTAATGGGCTTGTTAGGGCTCTGGCTTGGTCTCCATCATATCAAGATTATCTCCCCACCCAGTCGTTATATCATGACTATGGGAATTATCCCCATCTGGGGTAATCAACGTGGAAACTTAATAATCTTTCAGACACAGCACTTTACGTGGCCCGCATGCGCCAGACTATAAAAGCCCCACCTTGTGCATGCACCCACTGATTAATTGATTCCCACCTGTTGGAGTCGACGTGACAGCAGAAAGAAAAAGAGACAGGAGTTAAGCGTTTTGTCCACTTACCTTTGTTTAAATTGGAGAGCTGGCCTTTAAGCGTAGCTGCTGGCAGTTAGCAGCTAACTCACAGAAGAAGAACAGCAGCTGAAAATGTCCACAAAAAGAGAAAACAGTGAGGTCCAGGAGCTCCTTACCCTCTGAGCAGAGGACGAGATCAGCCGCCATATAACAGGGACGCTAAATGACTGTTATTGACATGTGATGTCATTGTTATTTTTTATAAAGAGCTGCTGACACGTATGATATATGTCACACTAGAGGCTGACTCACTCAAAGTGTTGTTTTGTCACCTAATGACCCGTACAAAACCTTCGATGTTCTCTAACATGACAGCCGCCTGCAGCTAAAACTAGCTTTTGTTCTTGATCTTTAAGGGTTAAATTACATATTTAAACAAAGCTTAGTAAGCAGATGGCACAAAAAAATTGCAAAAGGAAACATCTGATGACTTAATTCTTATTCACTGAGTGTGATCCCTCAAATTGTTTAGGAGTGATGTACAAATGAATTTGGCAGCAGATATGCAGAGTCAGCAACTGAACTTTGTTTCTACTGAGGTGATGTCACCTTTTGGTCTTAAACTCTGAACCATTTTACATATTAACAATTTTTAGGTTCTTTAAATTAGATTCAGTTTTATTATGATGGCACCGACTACGAGTGAGAACAAAATGCAGTTTAGCGTCTTTCTGTTGCTGCTAACCTGTACAGTAGTTAATGCACACCTGAGGGTAAGAAAGTCTAAGATGTATTGAGAAAATATAGATGATTTAATATTCCATATCCCTGACCCTCCCAAATCTAACTGACATCACTATTATTAACCCAACAGAAACAAAAAACAGTTCTGACTCTTCCATACCTGCCAACATTAGGC